ACAGGTTGTGGAGGTCTTCGAGGTTTCGGCATGGCTAACTGAAAAAACTGAGCCTGGCTGTTTGCTTGAACTCAGACATAACGTAAAACATTAACTCCTTCTGTCTTTAAAGTGCCGGTGCAGTGCGATCTGTCTCTATCACACAAACACAGTCACATCAAAACAACCCTCCTGAAGAGAGACAACGTCTGTGACAGTCTGGCAGCTGCTGCCAAACATTACAAAAGTGTGTGTGTGTGTGTGTGTGTGTGTGTGTGTGTGTGTGTGTGTGTGTGTGTGTGTGTGTGTGTGTGTGTGTGTTACAGCAAAACAAACAGTCCATGGACTTTCATCAGAGATTCAAACAAAGAATCATCATTTGGCTAACATGAACATAAGCTGTTTAAGTGTCTCCCCACCTAAAAACTGTGAGGTCTGTAAGTATTTGAACAAAGACAACATTTTTGCAGCTTTGGCCTCTTTACAACTCAAAGAAGATATGATTCAAGTGTAGACTTTCAGTTTTCTTTTCAAGGCGTTTAACAAAAGTGTTGCATTAACTGTTTATGGATTACAGTAAGTTTTATACACAGTCCCTCATTTTCAGAGAGTCCAAATTAATTGGATGGGCAGGTGAAGCCTGTTCCCTCATTATTCCATAACAAAATAGCAGATAAAAGATCAGTAGTTGATGTCCCATTTGGTACCTGTTTATTGGAATTATGGGTAAGAGATAAATAGAGATGTCAGTGCAAGTGAAGGAGAAAGCTGAAAAAGTAAAATAAACCAATTAGAGAAACAGCAAAAACTTTAGAAGTGACCAAACAATCTGACACATACTTAGAAAAGCCGAAAGGCCTCAAAGACCACAGAAGACAACTAAAATGTTTCATGACAGAACTACTTTCAACATCTAACCGAGCAACAAGAACACTCCTTTGGAAGGGAGGTGCATCATCGCCACAGTCTAGTCTGACAGAAACAGCAGGATGAACTGTGACATGTACAGGACCAGAGCCTCTGCTCAGATCTAGCTGAAAACTGACCAGATGGTACTTCACAGTGAAGACAGTTAATGACCCAAAGCAGACTGCAAAAGCATCCCAAGAGTTTGTCAAGGAAAAATAAATATCAACTGATCTCATCCCAACAGAGCATGTCATTTTAGTTACTGAAGGAAGACCCTTGAACAAGCAGGAACTGAAGCTGGCTGCAGCAGAGGCCGAGGAGAGCGTCTCATGGTGGGAAACGTAGCATTTCATGATCTCCATGGATTCCTTAAATCCCTCATTTTTTTTCCAATTTATTTTCAGTCTCTAAAAATGGATGACTGTGAAAAATATGGCTGTGAATTCTAAATAGTTAACGCAGCACTTTTGTTGAACCTATTAAAATGACCCTGAAAGTCTGCACTTCAACCACATCCCGGTTGTTTGATTTTAAATCCTCTGTGATGGTGTATGGAAGAAAAACTACAACAGAAAATGATGTCTTTGTCCAACAAATAATGGCCCTAACTGTACTCTCCTACCACAAAGGCATTTATCTAGTGGGCGATTCTCTCAGATGTCTCGTTTGGTTAGACATAATACAAAATATATTTATCAGATATGACTCGGCACTACACCAACTCTCGTTAAATCACTCTCGTCAACACATTTCTGATAGCTGTGTAACGGCAACAATGATGTCAAACTGATTGCTCTGGAGTTTTTGCCCGCCTGAGCCACATTCACACAAAAGCTTACTTCCACATAGGATATCATCAGGAATAAGTAACAGAAAAACAAAGAAAAAAAAAAACAATAACTGATCACACCTCATTTTTGAGAAGTTAACAAGAGCAATTACTTTCAAATTTGTGAGAGTTGTTTTATCCCATAACTAAATTAAATGAACAAAACAAACACCTGATCATTCTATTACCAAAAGACATGCTTGCTGATTAATTTTCAGTCAGATCCACCAGCTGACAAATCGACTATTTGCTGTGGCTCTAAGGAAAGCCACAATCTAAAACCGTTCAATGGCAAACTCAATGAGGGCCTCGACTGGAATGCAGATACTGAGGCGGGATGGTGTAAGGACAGTTTGTCAAAGCGCTCATGTCACTGTGCTGGCCACAGTGAGCAATCTCATTCATGCTACTCAGACAACTGAGGTTACCCAAGTCTGCAAGGTCATGCAAGTACGACTCTAGGAGCCACGAAAGGCTGATTAATATTTTCCAGGACATGCGCTGGTTCGTGTTTTTTTATATTACTTATTCTTTCATTTGCTAAAATGGCTTAAAAGAGGACTCTTTTTACTTCAGACTTGAAGTACTTAATTCTGGAGAAATAAATCTACTGTAGTGCTGATTCTTAACGATCATCAGTCATCATCGTGTTGTTTGCACCGCAGTCCTAAACAATCCTGCTGAGAAGGGTTAATGTCACTATCACATCCAGCGTGCAGGACAAACTTGATTCTTTTAACATTTAAAAGGTTCAGACAGCCCGGCTCTCTGGGACACTTTCTGAGACACAGCATGCAGACCATGCCTTCATCTAACCTGAGTTCAAGGCCACTGCAGTGCTCAGTATGAGCTTAGAAACAACCTGTTAGGTAAGTTACTACAGCTGACGCTGGATATGCAGAATTATCAGTACATTCCACAGATCTGGGTGGTGCAAGCTGCTTTTATGTTCCCACCGGCGGAGCAACAGTGATCTGGGTGACAAGATTCAGCTTATACTGAAAGTGGAACTGAAATGAGCTCTTACATTGACTGTCCAGAGGGGAAACCCACTATCACCACCACTGAATGTTACCACAGGACGCTCAGATTTACTGTACATGAACTGGTTCATATCCATGTGGATGTGATGCCAGCATGAAACCTGACACTCGTGGCTGCACCCAAAGACCCCCAAGAACTGGAACAAGGGGTATGAGGACTCTGCATAACAAAAAGCAGCAGAGATTTAAAAAAAAAACCTGCTCGCAGAGTTCTGGCAGCTTCTACTAAAACCAGACGAGAGGAGTAAAAAGTGCCATCACGCTGAGAGGCACCCCTGCTCATTGCATGACAGATGGGTCACACCACACGAAGCATCAAACTGCTGGAAAAGCATGTATTGTAATTTAATCCCGTTAATCTGCATGCTGATAATCCCCAACACCCACACAATCCTCTGTTGCTGGTTAATTACAGCAATATTAGCGCTACAGTTTTCCTTGATTGCTGCTCGGTGCTCACTTTGAGCGAGGTCCTGGTTTGGGTGAGGGGTAATTAACACGCCGTGAAAACAACTCAACAGCTACTAAACACACATCAACAAAGCGCCCTGCAAACACACCACCCGCACTTCACAGCTAATCTGTTTTTCTGTCCGCGAAGTAGGACAGAAAACAGCAAGCGCAAGAGGAGTGGCCGGACTTCAGCTGCAAAGTACTGGCTTTTTTATATATCCATACTTAAAAAATAAGTCTGTTAGTTTAGGGGAACCAGGCGAGAGGAGGAATACCATCTCCCTCTCTTTCCTCTTGTCCCGTTACTTTACCTTGTTGAAGGCGAAAAGCTCCTGTTTTATCTTCTCTCTCTGCGGGTCGGTGCCCTGCCGACGAAACCTAAACTTCATCATCTTCAAGCCGGTCACGGGGGAGGCAGGACCGAGGGGACAGAGAGGGTAACACGGAGGTATCAACCCGAGCTTCTCGGCGGGACTAGAGGCGGTTCGGCGCAGTCGGAAGATGCTAAGCTAGCTAACGGACTAGCCCATGCAGGCTGAAAGCGGGGGTACAACACTACTGCCTCTGCTGCGGCTCTCCTCCCTCCTCTCCCTCCTGGTGCTGTTTAGGTCCTGGTGGGTTTGACCACAGCAGCCCCCCTCCCTTCCCTCCTCTTCCCGGTTCACACGGATCCCGTTATTGGTAACCAATAGGGACGAGGAAATCTGCGAGCAATTACTCAGCAACGCCTACACAACCAAGGGCTCGCGAGACGGATGCTCGGTTTGTAGCACAGGATACACCGGCGGTATGTCCCAGCTGCTTGAGTTTGTACACTGCGACAACTGGGAGTTCCTTTAAACAAAATGGAACGGCCAGAGATTAAATAGCCAATAACGGCTAACTTTTCTCACTCGAAACTGTGGAGAAAATGTAAATATTTTACCTTAACTATTGTAAATTTGTTTTTTTAAGATGTCAAAAACTGGGTTTAAGATAAATAATGGAAGCAGACAGATTCAATCATGTTTGAATGACTACTTCAAACATGATTATACGTCCTGTTTAGGAAGAAAAACATGAAAAGAATGGTAACTCTGACCATTAATTGAAGGTTATAATTAGCATATATTTTATTTTAATTATATTTTACTAGTTGTTTTTTTTTAGTAGTATTGTATTCACCAATGATTTTCCATACTCTTTAATTCCACCTAACTCATATACATTGCTGTGTATTTGCTAAAAAATAAAGTACTCACACACCACTACTGTTATACTAAAGCTTTAATTTATTATTCACATGCAATAATTATGTAAAACTGCTATTTGCAAAAAAAAATTATTGTAAAAATAAAATATTTAAGTTAGTGCAAACTCTTAGTGATGTGGCCTCAAAGCTTATGTGCCAAAAAGACTTTGCCCCTTGGCAAAGCAGAGAATAAGAGATGTGTCAGAAAAAGTTCTTTATCCTATCAAACCAAAAGTTTCCATTAATGTCAAAACCAAGATGAGGTTATAAGGGTTTGTTTGTTATACAGCAATAAACTGGCGCCACCATTACACTAAATTAATGTTGTCCCAAGAACAAAGCAAATCATGCTATTCTTCTAAAGAGGGGGCATGGAAACAAGGAGACATTAACCCTTATAGTTATATTGGACAAGATCTTAAACATTTCTGGATGATTATGTAAAATTATAAACATTAAAGATTAAGGCATTCATTCAAGTTTCTCCTAAAACTAGAATGTGACTGACATGAATGACATTTTATGTGCCAAATCATTCATTAAGAAAACAGCTGATCAATTAAGAAAAAATAACATTTTCATGGCCATAATGGAAAAGCACTTTTTCAAAATCATCACAATAAACAAGTTATCAACTTACATAACAGTGCCTTTACATACAAAAATAACCTGTCTTACGAATAGAGGTAGAGTACATTTTTAAGGCATAAACTGTGATTTCTATGTATATGTCATCCTCGTGTTTGTGCTATAGGAGGGTGATTTCACTTGGTGGCAATGTGAGTCTCTTCTCTCTGACTGACAGCATGTTCTCCACGTGCATGGCGATGACTCGGCAAAGCTCCAGGCCCTGGAAAACATCATATAGACCCTTAAAGAAACAACACTGGACTTAAGATGAAGAGTGAATATAGACTGCTCAGTGGTACAGTTAGGGGAGAAAGGGGCAAAAGTTTGTGGACACTTTTTCCTTTTGTAATTTTTCGTGTGTACACCATCAGAGTGAATTTCAAATGAATCAATATTTGATTGAAGTCCAGACTTTCAGATTGATGCAGATTCAAACTGCAGATTATAACACATTAACTGCAAAAGCAACCCAAAAGTTTCTCAAGGCAAAGAAATGGGATATCTTTCTGAAACCAATAAAGCATGCTCTTCAGTTTTCAAATGCAAAACTGAAGGCAGAGACCCACAAATAAGCAGCAACTGAATGTGGTTGGAGTAAAAGCCTGGGGGAGCATCTCAAGAGAGAAAACCAAGCATTTGGTGATGACCCTGGGTTGTAGACTTCAAGCTGTCGTTGACTGCGAAAGATTTTCGCAAATGGGGTACTGCGTATAAAAATCACTTTAATTCCTTAAAAGTTGATGCAACACTTTCATTAAACACCTTGAATTAAAGCTAAAAGTCTGCACCTCAGTCACATGTTGACTGCAGAAATGTGTCACTGTAAATACAGACACTGTTACACACACACATCTAAATCTTCCATCTATGTCTTATACACCCACCTGCTCCAGCTGCAGCTGTGTGACACGCTGGTTAAGCAGGTCTCCTATCATGATCTCCACATATGGGTAACTGGAGCCAGATGTTGGCCTCTGAGTGCGAGTTGATTGAATCTCCTTCAGAGGAAAACGCACCATAGTCTCCTAATCACACACAAACACACCAATGTGCATATAAATAGGCATTCAGGGGACACAGAGACATAAAATATAAAATTAAATATCTCAAGTTTTAAAGGTTATATTTTCTCTTGCACAGATTTTTTTTTTATTTGTAATTTAGATTTTATTAAAAAATGATGGATGGGAGAGCCAGTAAACACCATAACCAAGAGGGGGAGCCAAAAGCTTTGTTGAAATATAATAAAATTCCTGCCTTTTTTGTATTTTTCAATCACAATAGATCAGTAAAAGGGTAAAATGCTTGTTTGACTCACATGTGTGTCCTTGTTAAGAAAATGAAGCCCGTTCAGATTAACAGCCAGGATGCATGGGGCGTGGACGGACGAAGAGCCAGAACTCTGGATGTAGAAGAAGGAGGAGCCAAACATGGGGAAGGCACTGACCAGACCTGGGCAAAAACACACCAAAGCTCACTTCTGATAAGCTGCCGCATTCAAATTGCGAGGTAAAGATGTTTACAGAAAATGTCGCGACAACTCAGCGTGCTTTTGAACATTTTCTTTCCCACTGGTCCAACAAAAATGCTCTAAGAAGACACCTTGCTGCACTCATATCAACTTAGAACTGCTATTTGGGATCAGAATAAGCCTTTTTTTTGTTTACCAGATGTTTCAGATGTTTATCCTAATAGAATTGTGACAGAACATGCAATGGGCTTTGCTATTAACAATACAAAAGTTATTAATATTATAGGACATATGTAAAAGTTAAATGGCCAAATTGTGAGTATCTTTCACACTCACAAAGAACTGTTGTCTTACCAAGGAACTGCGCACGGGCCTGGTGTGGGTTTAAGGGCTGGACCTGCTGCATGTGTTGTGTTGTCATGTTCAGCCACTGCTGTGAACCCTGTTTGCTGTAGAACTGCGGAGGGATACACTCCTGCACCTCACGGCTAACACACACGCACACACAAAGAGGGAACAAGGTGTAATTGAGAGACAGCAGATCAAATTATACATGTGCATGTTAGGTGTATTTTTCTGTGCAAGCCGACAATGTGCAAAGCAGAGTATGGTGGCCCTGAGAGGTCAAAAAGACTGCAGCATAAGAAAAGGCCAGAAAAATACAAAAATGCTACAAAAGCACATAAAAACACAAAAATGCACAATGAAATTAAAAAAGAAACACACAACAGATGTAAAGCAAAAATAAAAAATAAAAAGATAAATAGCACAGTGGAAGTTGGGGGAAAAAAGCTCCCAAAACACAACAAAAGTGTTTTTTTAGCAGAAAATCTTACAGAACAGCTGTGGAAATGAGAGAAACAGAGACATCCAAAGGATTCGACTGAGACACAGAACCTGAGGATTTGTAGCTGTTGTGAGGAAGTAAAGTTGTAATTGAATGATACATATAACACTGTAGATGAATGTTTTATATTAGTTGTTCAACATACCATGTAATGGTCTAACCTGATGAATTTTCATTGTGTTTTGTGTGCTTTTGGAACATTTTTCTATTTGTGTTCTTTTACGTTGCAGTACGTTTGACCTCTCAGGGATACCGTACATTCTCTTCCACTGCTTCTCCAACCTGTAGGTTTCCCCAAGGTTCAGTCCTGGGTCTACTATTATTATCTTACTACATTTTAAAGAGTGTTGTTATATAAAACCCTTAGGTAACTAACTTAGTCCCTGGATGCAGCAGCAACCTTCTCAGCCCTTTGTGATATAGCCACAATATCAGAAATAGTAGAAAAGGGATATCTGGGCCAAACATGCTCTTCTGTAAGTCAGCCATGTCTTACTGTTTGGAAAAAATTAAGCTACTAAAAGTCTCAATCACTGGTTTCTTTAGATAACTTTAATTTAAATCACTTTGAATCAATTTAATTCCTAAAAAGTGAATGGAACACTTTCATTAAACCGTTTGAATTAAAGCTAAAAGTCTGCACTTCAGTCACATGTTGATTGCATAGATATGATTAGATATGATGGGTGACAAAAAATCAACATAAACCTACCTTTAATTTGTCCCTTGTATCACTAGTAACTTGCCCAAAAGTAATTGATATGCAAGTGTGAGTTGGTACATTAGCATGCAAAAGGTTTCCAACAACAAATGGATATATTTACAGGGTGGGGAGGTAGATGGTGTCTTTGGCACGATGCTGTAGGGCAGCCAGCCTGGTAATCTGCTGCAGATGCTGTTCACTGGGCTTACCCTGAGGAACCACACTCAGCAAGGCCTTCAGGTAGTCTGGCAACACCTTGAAAAGAGATGCACAATGTGCATTAGTCCGTCTTGTTTCTATGACAAATATCAACTGATGAGAAGACGAAACAAGATGTACTTCTATGCACACCGCCCGACCACAAAAAAAAACAAACCCTCATCAGGTGGTGATGACGTATGTGGCCACAAAAAAAAAGATGTCAGCTATCCAATGAAATATTAGGATGTCACAAATTTTTAGCACGTGAGCTAAAATTTCAGGACTGCTTCAATCTACAGCTCTGTGAAATGAGATTTATACCTGGTTATAGTGCATGGTGACATAAAGTTCATTGTCAAGTTTGAGAGCTAGACTCCATATAACCCGTCTGAACCAAAGACTGTAGTTGGCATCCACGGGCTCGGCCTCTGTAGCGATGTCCAGGATGTACTCTCGCTTGTTCAGGGGACGTACATTCTGACCTACACAGAAAGACACTTTAGTAACCATCTATTATCCAAAACGTGTAACAATATCTAACTCGGCAAAAGGAAATGTTAGCATTTTAGAGCTCCACTAAAACAAGAGATCCTTGTTACCCTTGTGTGTGACCAGAAAGACGGCATGTTCATCCAGTGCCTCCATTCTTTGGAGTCCCATCTCAAAGCAAAGCTCCTCGATCACATCCAAAGCAACCTGATAAGGAAAAAGCAAATATGCCACTACAGGCTACAAATTCGGCATCTGTGTTTTACATTTAGAGACTGCAGCCATTCTGTGTGTGTGTGTGTGTGTGTGTGTGTGTGTGTGTGTGTGTGTGTGTGTGTGTTTTCCACTCACAGAGCATGTCTTGATTTTTAAGTGCCTTTCGATGCCACCTGGGAGCAGGAACAGCTGTCTCTTGGAGCTACGCCCGGCCTGTACACGGACAACAAATCAGAGGGAAACGTCACACACTGCTATCCACAGCTGTTACTGAGAAGTCATGTAGCAAAGTCACATCTGAACATGACAGACAGACACCACAATATGAAAGATATCGCTGTAGATTAATTAGCACGGCCTGATCTACCTGATAAAGGAGACTATACAGGACTATCCCGATTGTTTTTCCGTATTTTTAAACACGTGTTGACACTTTAAGTTAATAAATGTTAGCAATCCCTACAATTTTGACATATTTCAAGCCACAAAGGAACACTGTGTAGCTTATTTACAAACTAACCATCATTGCTTTGAGTTCCATGCTGTTGGGATACTGCACACGCCCGCCATACTGAAAAGTCCTCCTCAGATTCTGCTCGCATGCCTTGGCAATACCTGTCAATTGGAAGAGCAGCTAGTAAACACTTTAGACCAGTGAAGATCAAAAGAGATGGACTGATGAACACGATGCCCACCTTGGTATTGCAAACCAGGGCTGGCACATGCATCCTGGAGAAACGTCAACAGAAACGGCTTCATAACATCAGAGCACCGATGGAAAGATGTGAGAATATACATCAGCCGCCATCCTCTCTGACAGCTGTCCCTGCACACAGAGAAGCGCGCACACAGCCACAGATTAAAGCCTCTCCACGATCATGTCACCGCTCTTTAAGAACAAGCGAGCGCTGGAAGCCTTACGGTTTGGAGCTGGTGTTGACAGTAACTTGTTTCATCACTTGGCAGTAGGCTTCATCCTTCATCAGGCCATGGTCACCACTTAACTAGATTTGTTTAAGCACATGCATGAAGAAAAACATAAAATCACACACACAGACCTCGTCTTAGTATTACAATGGATAGACAATTTGCTGATGTAAGCATACCTTTAATATAGTGGTGACCAGGTCCTGCTCGGTCTGGCCTTTCATTGGGAAGTCTCCCATAAACTTCATTATAGCTGGGCAAAAGAAACAGAAGGAGCTGGACCACATCTTTTCAGATGTATTTCGTTTAAAGCACATTAATGCTTTTATACTAAAAATAAACTAAAAATAAACACAAAGAAACACGAAATATATGCGTATTTTATGCTGCTATCTTCTGCTTCAACCTCCTATGTTTCTTTTCGTTTCCACACTCTGCTCTCACCTAAGAAGATGTCAGCAGCCACTCGGTTCATCCCACTGTCTGAGAAGTCGATCAGTGACTCCTGGATTGGAGACTAGAAAGAGAAACAAGATGTTAAACCAGAACACGATGGCAAGAAAAACATTTTAGATGTCTGTGCACAGGCACAGAGAAACATATCCTATATATTTGAACACAGAGACATGATTGTGATTTGAATTACCTTGGAGAATTTGACCATGTCAGCAGGGTCCCTGAGCTCCTTCCCCTTTTTCGCTTTCTGATCACTGTGGGGAAAAGCAGACAATCAACTCTTGGTTATTTATTTATCACCGTAAGTGCAAATTTTAGCTTTACATTGAACCCTTCTAACTCTTTTTTGTTTTTGACACTGCACATGTGTGTGTCTGACCTCCTGTTCCTCTGCGCTTCTCGGAAGTACTTCTTGGCAAACTCAACCATGTGGTACTGGCTGCTGTGCAGAGGCAGGTCGTCCAGTTCGACACCCAGGCTGTCTCCATAGATCTCATTCACTACCTGAGACACACACAAATCCACAGCATGAGGAGCAAAAGCAAGAGTGTCACTTACTGGGAGCACCAACAGTGTAATTATCTAAAAAATATTTCCATTTCTGCTAACCAAAGCATTCCAATGTATGCTGTATAAACACTGGCTAATACCATAATGTAAGGGTACTTTTCATGTTGAGCTCTGTAGGTTACACTAGCCTTTAATCTATTATTCTGACAGTGGGAAGCTTGAAAAAGCAGAAAAAAAGAGTAAAAAAATGCAGTTAGCACCTCGGTAGAGAGGTCGAGCTCATGAGCAGCTACAGCTGAGCCCATCGCAACGGCAACAGCAGCAGAGGCAGCGACTCGTCCCTGCCGGTCTCGGGGCTCCACGCGTTCAGGAGGCAGGACCAAGAAGTCCGGAGCAGCCACAGGACGGATGAACTCGCTGGGGAACACTCCAGACTTTCCATACACGGCGCCGAACCGCCAGCCTACACACATGCACACACACAAAATAAGTAAAAGGTTGCACACAAAATAGAGACTCTTCAATGTCGTAAAGATTTTGCGTCACACAACCAACATAAATAAACTCCAAAATGTTAGAAGAAAGCTAGAATAAGAAAGGTCACGCCACACGCACCAAACTCAGCGGTGTTTCTCTTTAGCTCCTCCAGAAGCATCACCTTCTTCCTCACAATGCAGCCATAACGTTTACCTGAGATACAACCACACAATGAAATGGGCACTGTGAAATAATTCAGAGGCAGAACGCAGATCTATCACTGTGACAATTTTCAGTGTTGGATTGTTCCTGTATCTCACCAGCCTCCAGTCCGTCCATGTGCTGGAGTCTGATGATGTCGCCTTTGTGGAAGTTGAGCTGAGTCCTGTCCTCAGTGATGTAGTTCCTCACTGCCACCACATACTCCGAGTCCTGACAAAGACAGGGCACGCTGACATCCAGCAGAGAGCCAAAGAACATTTGTGCCAAGAAAATCCCTTTCCTCACTCACAGCTTAATGTCCACTTTGAATTCATGGGTTTGTCAGCGCTACTCACTGTAGGTTTGTTTTAAAGTTTATAAACTTAAATAGTTATTCCTGCGTACTGATCACATCTCCATAAGTAAAAAATAAAGAAATAAAGGTAGTGATATTTTATAGTTAAAGTGCCATATAATACAGTACTGTATAAAAGTCTTAAGCCACACTTCATGGTTTTGTATTTTACAAAGAAAATGGGAAATATGTGCATTGATTTATTGAAACATGTGCAAGCATACAAGAAATACAAGATTTGTGTGACCATTTTTATTCTTCAGCACAGCCTGAAATCATCAGGCAAGCTTTGTTTAAGTAGTCTGCAGCTCCAAACCATGACGGCGCCTCCACCATGCTTTAGATGGCTGGAGACGCTCAGTGTTGTACATCTCTCCCGACCTCCTCCTCCGTACATACTGATGATGATTTGAACCGATCATTTGAAATGTGGATTCATCAGTGCATAACACCTGTTGTCACTGACTTTTAGTCCACTTCTTGGGTTATTTGGCACACTTCAGTCTTTTCTCCCCGTTTCCGTTCCTTAAGAATGGCTTCCACTCAAACCATTTCTGATGAGGTCACGTGTCAGGACACACTGCACACCATGCCGGTATACACCCAGGTTTCAGCTAGCAGCTCTTTGGGAAGGACCTGTTTGGTGTAAAATTGCTAATTGCTATTTCATGTCTGTTGTCTTTGGAATTTTTTGAAGATCCAGCTCCAGAAATGGGGATTTTCTTTTTTTTTTTTTTTTTTTTTACAGGCTGCTAGAAACAAAGTGCCTGTTTGGTTTTTTTGTTGTTGTTGTTTTTTTTTTTTGCTAAGTTGTGTGTCACATGTAGACAAAATACAGACTTATCCTTTGACTCAAGCGCCTTTTTTGGTGCTTGAATGATTCAGAGGTCAGTGTTAAGTGGCTTAACAAACAAAACAAAAAATTCCTCTGAAAATGGTCAGGTACAAGGAGTGAAAATGAGGGAAAAAGAAGAAAATGTCCAAAGAAAAACTCTAAAAGTATTGCTCAAAACCACTTTAAAAAAAATACAAGAAAGTCTGGCTTCTTGGAAGCAAAATATTAAAAAAAATTATTTTTGCACATAATTTTAAGACACTGAAAACTGAGCCAGTTTCACACGTGGATAAAGAGCACTACACACCCTGTGAACGCGCTTAGATGTCAATGTTATGGCATCAGTATAAATTTGGATTACACCTGAAATTTCATCTTTTTAAAGTAAAAAAATAAATAAATAGAAAGTTAATAAAAAAACACTCAAATCAAAGAGGACATGGAGTAAAGCCCATGCATACATATATTAAAAAAAAATTATATGAGTTTTTTTACACAGTAATGTTATCTAATTTAATTGTGCCAATCAGTGTGCATTACAAAAACTCATCCATTCATAATTCACACTTCGTCACACGCAGACACTGACAACATTCCTCTGACCTTCTTAAGCTCTGTGAGGAAGTAGTCGGTCATATGCTTGACGTGCGGGGCTTTGGCGGAGAACAAGATCAGCTTCTCATTAGTCAGGTTGAACTCAAGCATGTTCTTAGATGGAATAGACACAAACAGGATGTCTGAATAGCTGCAAAGGAAGTGATACGCCAAACCAGGAAGTCAACTTAAAGTCATAGTTCAAAGCAATCAGGCATTTGACATGTATACACAGAAAGTTAAATAAGATCTATGGCCAGATCTTCTTTTTAGCATCTGATTTGTGTTTTTAAAACAAGAAAATGCATTTAAAACAATCTAACTTACAGGGTTTTTTAACAGGAATATGTTGTATGAGACTCACCTGTAAGGCCTCAGCACTCTGAAGTAGTCTGAAGCAGAAGAGCTGCTCTTCACCATCTTCAGCAGCTTGATACCTTTATGAGACACGGACAACACCTGCACACCTGTCCCGACACTGCCCTGGAAAACACACACAACCATATACACACACCACAATATAAACACATGAAACTATTTATTAATTCAGTTTATCTATGCCAAGCAAAACAACAGCTCACAGAGGCTGGAAAGAGGCGAGAGAAGTAGATCTCCCATTCGTCTCTAGCCACGGTGACCACCTTCTTCTTCACGTTCTCATTGTATGTTCCTGAAACCTGATCCACCTTGTTCTCCGCTGTCACAGAAACAGAGGATCAGTAAAGGTTTGAACTCCTGAGAACCAACAGAGAGCGTCACATAGATGCAAGTAAGTCATAAACCTTAAAGCATGCATGCTAGTTTCATACCCAACAGGTCTTTCATCTTCTGTCTCTCCTCCTGCGTGATCCGTATGCAAGCCTCAGAAAAGGTGTCATGTACAATCTGGGAAGACACAGCCAGGAATAGGAATGTGCTAATGGGAAACACTTGGAGTGAAAAATAACTACATCACAGACACTATTTTAGCATTTTAATATTAATGAATCATGACCATCTGAACTACTGCCATAATTACTGTTAACTAGACCAGCTGGAAGACACCCTGAGGTCTCTATGATAATTTACACAAGTTTACACAAAGAATTGCATAAAAGCAAAATAAATAAAGATGATGAATATTGACAGTTATTGGATTTATAAACCAACCTGTCTGAAGATCAGATCCAGGATCAGTGGATTGTTCAAGTTCTCTTTAGGATAAAAAACCTGTAAATGGAGGACAGACATAAATAAACTGTATTTTTATGTAAATGATTATATTGACGTTGGGGTTTACAGCTCCATTTTTTGTACTTAGCTAAAAAAAAAACTGAGGTAAAAACAAACCTCTTTCCTCATGTAGAGTTTCCACGGGACGTTGGAATAAGTGTAATATTCATCACTGGTTCTGCTGTGGAGCTGAGTCTGAATGATCTCCTCCTCAACTGGCAACTCTCTGGAGACTGGAAGCAAGAACATTCATTTATTTATTTATATCATGAACAATACACACCTGTATCAGTCTAATCTGGAGCTTATTCACAGGTATTTCTACAGTGTAAATTTACCTGGAGGAGGGGCGGGGCTTATGTTGGAGCTAGATGGCCCTTGGGGGCGAGGCTTGGCTTTCTGGCTAGTCTTGTGTCCCCTGTCTTCTTTAGATTGGGCGGACGAAGTCTTTCTGTGAGTCTGAGATATGGAAAATGGTTAGATATTGTTTTGCCGTGTGTGTGTGTGTGTGTGTGTGTGTGTGTGGTAGGTGTGGAGTTAGGATACCGGTTGTGGTGGGTTTGCCATTTGATCTTTAAGGATCTCCATCGCTTCATCATGAGGGTCTGGCTTCTTTCCAAACAACTTTCCATCACTTCTCCTACACACACCACAGTAGTCAGAACAGATTAAATACCACAGAGTATGACAGTCGTCAATATCTCACATCATCGTGTGTGTGTGTGTGTGTTAACCTTTGCGTGGGAGATCCAGAGGAAGATGTTGTGCCTTCAGGCTGGTGCTGTTTGATAATGTCTTTAATATCATGGCTGGGGTCCAAGTGCTCAGTGTTACTCACAGTGGAGCGGACCACATCCTCAGGAGGGGGGCCACGTAATGGACCTGGAATAAAAAGTTTGATTACACACGAACCCGGTTTGTTCAGGGTTCATCCCTAACCCCTGTAGCCACAGTGTTAGGATGCCTGGGTCGTTGAACCAGGGTTTTGAGTTTATATATTATTTATCATTTCTAGTCTTTGGTTTCTTTGTTAGAGTCATGTCTTATGGTTTGTCTCTGTGTAATCCTTAGTTGCTGTCTCCCCTGTCCGCTATATCCCCGTGTCCAGTCAGTGTCTGTGTCTGCCCTGGTCCCACGTCTCTGTTCCCTCTGTTGTAGTGCCTGCATGTGAGTCTGTGTCTTTTGTTCAGTCTGTGTTATGTGTTTCCTGTTTTACTTTGAAGGTCTCTGTCTTATCTCAGTGTGTTCAGTTTACGCTTCCTTGTCTCGTCAGTTCTGATTTCCCCCAGCTGTGCTCTCCTTCTGTGTCTCATTCCCCTCGTTACTTCCCAGTGTATTTAAACCCTGTGTTTCTCTGAGTCAGTGTTGCGTTGTCCCTCATGCTGTGTGGATCTCCCTGTGGCTCACTGTGAGGTTTGTTTATGAGTTTCCAGTTTAGGTTGCTTTTTTATGACTTTCCCCTGCCAGCAAATAAAGCTCAGTTTTTTTGTGTTTAAACCTCATGCCTGAGTGCCTGCATTTTGGGTCCAACTCCTGCCTGCCACACAGCGACTCATGACACACAGGGAGAACTCCTTAAAGTGATAATCATATACTTATTTAAGGACAGTTACTCAATTCTGCATTTTCAATTATTGCAGTGGGCTTTCCAACCACAAATCACTATGCTGCAATGCACCAATATTTTTATTTCCACTCTTTTTTGATTCAGAAACCGCACAGCAAGTGTACCACATACTCGTTTTCCGTTGAACAGCGGCAGCGCTTGGCTTGTGCAGAGACGCCTCACTCTCTTTGGTCTGCAGGAAAAACAACAATAAGTGATACGGCTTCAAGATTATATTTCAGATTTGCATGCATAAAGTGTATTGAACGTTACATCAACACAGCAGCGTGTGTGTTTACTCACAGGACTGGCTGTGCGTGAGCGCTGTTGTGAGTGCGCGTGATAGTATGAGGGTGGTGACTGTGGGGCTGGAGCAGCTGGGGGGAAAGAAGACAACATTTGCTGCTGGATTGCTATGGCCTGCATCGTCATCTGCTGGGCCTGCAACACAAACAATCCAACATATATTCAATATTTAGTAAACAACAGTTTATACCTATGTTTAAAACATATTCATCTTTTATGGTTTAACTTAATGTTTAGGTTAACTGTGTCAATTTGTAACTTGATATCATTTGTTTAGGCAAGACATTTGATGTCAGGAGTCAGTAAAGTAATGTGGTACATTTGTAAAGTTGTCAATTTTCACTCAATAAATGAATTAACTGCTTAGATTATCCAAGTATTTTGGTAGTACAGCCTTTAGCGTCATGTGTACTGTGACATACAAATGTGAAAGTGGTACTGATTATGGTATCTTTCACTTAAACATTAGTTTAAGGGCTCAGAGTGCAGCATTATCTTTTTAGCATTTGACTGCATAAAGACAGTTTTATCATACTTCATTTGCTCGTACAGCCATGTGAAAAAGACTCTGTGCAGTCCTGTAAAAAAAGTTCACCATTAATGTTTCCATTGAAATTGAGAGGGTAAGTAGCAGCAAATCAAATGTAATGGATTAGCTGATCATCAGCAAGTGTGAGCACATCTATAAAATCAGATGTTTTGGCGCTTTGCTGCTCTGGTGCATTCACGAGTTAAGGTCAGACAGTGCAATACTCAGAAGAACTGCAAAACACCCATTAGCTACATGTAAGCCTCTGCAGCCATCAGTTAGCATGTTAAATATGAATATTAGGTAAGTTGGAAAGTTGGAAATATACTGAACAAGTCTAAAAAACCAACAAACAAAAAACTAGATTGTTGTGTCATATTTTTGGTGCAGAAAGAAAATACAATGTGATGTCTGTCTACATGAGGCAGCTAAAACTTGGCCTAAACCGGGTCATTCAACAGGACATTGATCCCCAGCATAGCAGCACATCTACAACAGAATGGCTGAAAAAGAAAAGAATCAATGTGTTGCAATGGTCCAGTGAAACCTGACTGAAAAGCTGTGATGTGACCTTAAGAGAAAGCATAAACAAACCCCAGTGAACTGAAACAACGCTGTAAAGAAGAGCGGGCCAAAATTCCTCCACAACTATGTGACAAACCGGTCACACAGAAAATGATTACTTCAAGTTATTGCTGCTAGATGTGTTCCTACAAACTACTGAATCATTAGGTGTAAGTGTTGTACAGTCTCTCTTTTACACAGAACTGTATCGCCCAGTACGAACAGTGGTTTTAATATCAGAGTTGTTCAGAGAAATGATGTCAGACCAGAATGATGGCTTGTTGGTTGATGATGGCTTGTTGCTGCTGAGTCAGTACCACTTGCTCCGATCCTGGAGAAGCACAAACATATAACTGTTATGTTGTTGCTGCACTAAGAGCACAAGAAACAGAATTATCTGTTTAAAACAAACCACACGAATGAACTTTGCAACCCCACATAAAAAACAAACACAAAAAAACTTGAAACTGGCTTTAATTAAAGAAAAAAGAAATAAAGGAGTCCATCATGCCCAAACACTTCAGGCCAAACATGCTGGAAAACCTAACACACATCCTTTTATTCTACCTGGCACACCTGTCATCACAGGCAAGCCTGGAACCACAGGCATGGCTGGGAGTGAGGGCGCCGCAGGCAGACCCGGGACAACAGACACGTTGGAAGCGACATTGGTATCAACAGCAGGGGTAGCTGCGGGGGCAGCAGCGGGGGTGCGAGTGGGTGACTGCGTGGGTGCTACACGACTAGAAGGAGTGGTGGCAGAAAACGATTGCTGACGGTGGTAGGGGTGTTGGGGTCGGTTGTATTGGTGGTATTGTTGTTGTTGCTGCTGTTGTTGATGTTGCTCGTGATGATGGTGGTGGGAGGGGATTGGCATAGCAGGGATTGGGGGCATCATTCCTCCTGCTACTGGAAGCACTGGCACAGCTTGAGGAGTAGCAGGCAGGGAAAAGGAAGATAGACAGGTCTTAAGTGGCAGTTAGTCCACACATTGTTAGTGACTGGGAAATATTTCACATTTTACGACAAACAAGGTATGATCAAGTTCAGATTCAGAAATAAAATATGTCAGAGTGGTCGTTATTAGCCACACTGATGCTGTGGTTCATAGAACATCAATATTAATGTGTTTATTACTCCCCAACTTTGACCCAGACAAATCCTGCTGAGTGTGTAATGGAAAACCTGTTTCAGCTTTTCTAATCTCTGTGTTCTGCTGGTATGTGACTGTAACATCTTGTACAAAGAGTACAAAGTGTGTGCGTGTGTGAAGATGGGAAGCAACAGGTTCAAATCTAACTGTAAACTCTGTTCAAGGCCATGAGGCACTTTCCGTGTCTTTGTTATCAGGCAGGTGCTGACATGACTACGACAAGAAAAGTCCTTAAAGCTGAGCAAACAACTTCTGTATTCATACAATTTGTATGAAGAAGCTGTTATGTTTTTCTGCTCTGTATCAGTGCTGGTGTGAAGATGTTTGTGCTGTATTTATCGCTTTGTTAATTATGTTGAAAAATAATTTTAATTATAGTTTTCATCAACAACCTTGTTTTTTCGAATGAGAACAATAACTTAATAAAAACTTATGCAGGACGACAAAATCTATGATAAAATGTATTGATGCATTCAACAAATAAAAAACAAGATGAAAACATTCTGGAGAGACGAGATCCAATCAGAACTAATTAAGTTGTACAGAAAAGCGAGTTTGGAAGTGATCCAAGCAGAACTAATCTTGTGCTGTGAGGTTGGACACGCACGTCTGAGCCGCCCCAGGGAAACTACAACCAGCTCCCATGCTCCCCGATTCTCATGAAAACACGACAAAATGTCAACGCTTGGGAGGAAGAGAAGAGTAGACACATGTACACATTTTACATTTGATGGCAAGGAAAATAAGACACTTTGTAAATCGTGTTGAGCAAATCTCATCAGTGAAAACACAACCAACTTCCCCAATTTGCTGGGCAGCTTTTGACTTCATCATGAGCTATTTAGTCGACTAAAACTAAATGACATCATAGTCAAGTCTGTGACTACAACTAAATCAAAATTTGCTGTCAAAATTAACACTGTTGCAAAGGGTCTTTCTACAAATCTCAGAAATTAGTTTCATGCCAATGTTCGGTTTATTTTTCAGCTTTACGCTGGAGCCATTGTAAAATTAACATTTTTACTATTGAGTAAAGTAGTAGTAACTGTTAGAGCACATCAGTGGAATGATATTACTGGCCAATATCAGCTATTTGTCACACTTATAACATAACGGCTGACAAATGAGAATGTAACAAAAAAGTAAAGACAGGTGAAACATGCTTCAATCGTGTCCTGGGAGTTGACGTTGTTTAGGTCGTCCAGCAGAGGGCAACACACATGTTTGAAACACCATAAGCATAACAACCAGTTTATCCAATCAGACTCAGGAAATATGCAAGCAAGTAAATAAGCAAGCGCTAGGGAAATCTGTTTGTTCATGTGTCTGAAAGGGGGAAAAAAAGCATTGGTGATATATCAGGATATCAGATTTTTAAATCACCAAATATTGTTATCAGTGTTGGTCTTAAAAGTCCAATATTTCTCTACAGTATGTGCTGTTTGATACTGTATGGTTTCCTCTTTTTAGATTTGCGTTTTGAACACATGTCAGGTCAAAATCTCAATTTGTCCAATACCCTGCTTTAGAAGTAAAGCAAACATGCTTGCTGATGATAAACATCAAACCAGTGTAACATCAGCATGTTGGCACTGTCACTATGTGAGTTTTGCTCAGTGCCGTAAGCCTGGCATCAGTACATTAGAGGGGAAAAAAGAGGAAACTGTGAAGGTAAAATAATAAATAAAAATTCTGGAATTTTACAGTCGAGCACACAAGAGCCAGTAAAAATAGTACCAGGTACTTAACATTACTAGATGTGTGGAAAGTGATCAATTTGTAATGACTGGTGTTTAAGAGAAATAACAGTCACCTGTTATAGTGAATGGCTTTTAATGTATTATCTATGAGGACAGTCAATACAGCCAACAGCTCAAAGTTAAACTTTTAAAGTTCAGGTCTGTTCATTGCCTTTAAGATACCAATAAAGAAATACTCTGTCTGCCTGTTACTATGGGAATGAAAGTAGGTTGATAATAAAGCATCACCAAAACATTTTAAATGCGTTATTATTAATTTATTGAGGAGGAGCTTACAAAGGAGAAACAAAGGGAAACTCTATTAGCCTGAGACAAAAGCCAATGATTTAGGAGCGCTTAGGTTAAGCTGAATTATTAATGTCAGTGCAGAGAGAGTGAGCTGTGAGGACAAAAGAAATGTCTGAAAATGAAAAGTCCAGCAAAAACAGCAATATCCGCTTAGACACAAAATATAGGCAGCAAAAAAAATAGAAGTCCAGAGACAAACATATGGCCAATCAGCACTGACACACATAACAACAAATACACACAGCACTCAGTGTTTACCTCCAGGATGTATTCCTGGTGGATAAGGCCGGCTGGAAGCTGGACGACTCTCTCCCTCTTCCCTTCCTTCTCCTGTGATGCCTATACCTCCTCCTCCCTTCATCCTTTCTGACAAACTTCCACTCTTCTCCATGTCCTGGTGAGCAAAGAGCAGCAGGAGACTCAGCAGAAGGAAAGGGATGCTTATAGTTGAGAAACTGGAGTTTAAGGGGCTTGAAGTGGAAAAAGAAAAGGTGTCAGAAGCAGGGAGGGAAGGAGAGGGACTAAGACAACAAGCAAGAGGGAGTGAACTGGATTGGTTGATTTAGACCCTCTCTGAGCCAGAGCTGCAGGAACAGTATACTCTCCAGGAAGTACCGTACACGCAGGAGGAGAGGCTCCAGCATAAAGACACTAAATGGACTACAACAAAATTCACCACTACATGACAGACCTCATTCTCCTGAGCTGACTGAAATTCTCAGCTACTTTGTTTCCAGTGTCAGATGATTTTAAAGCCAAAACTGCTCAAGAAAATCTAAACAGGTCTATCAAGACTTCTGCCAAACACAGATATTATGTTTTTATTTTAACTATTGCCATTGATATATACTACTCAAAGCCCTAAAACATTCCTGATGCAACCTTTCCTGTGCAACCCGAGTGATGAGGACGCTGAACTCGTTTTGTTTCCACTAATAAACAAAAGATGAAGCTATGAGCGGAATCTTTTCCCCACACGGTGACTCGTTTATGCTGACTGCTGCTGCGGTCATATACGGTAGGTCACTCGGTAACCTAATCAGCCGTCCCGTGTGCTCCATTCATACCCAAACACAAGCCGAGGATCACATGCTCAATTCCTCCATCAGCACTCTTCTGTTCACACTCAGAGGACAGATCAATGACACAGAGCTATCCACCTGTATTATTACTTTTCTTTTAGGTCGGCAATTAACTGATTGGTCTTATAATATAATTAATATAACTGAACAAAGAAGTAATAAGCTTTGAGTTGCAGTGGCAGGAAAGCACTTGCAGCTCTACATAGACACATTTATAGTGAAAAGTCTTTGTCAAAATGAAAGCAGTGGCAATGCAGTAATATGGTCATCTGTCGAGTATTTCACCTGGTAGATGACTTAAAAGATTATACCAAGCAATCATTTATTACTATTTTGCGTGTTAGTTTCATAACACTACAGCAATTTTAAAAACAAAGAGGAAATAGTTGGTTGACATGTGTAGTTTATGAGAAATCAGGACGAGCACTCACCGTGCTGCTGTCCGACAGCACAGGGTCAAACAGGCTGTCCAGGTAGCGGTCCATCCCTCTCTGAGGCTGACCCTCGCTCAATGTTTCTGACTCTGAACACAGACAAACAGCAATAATGCTTTAAACATTGTATTTTCAGTGTTTTTAGTGCACAGAAACTGTCATGTTTGATATTTTCTTTCTTTTAATCAAGCATGTTTTATCAGGTGATCAGGTTTACTTTAACTGTAGAGAAAAGGTTGTTAGTCACTGATCAAAATGTCTTATTCTCAAAAATGCAACCTAAGTCAGTTCATTGTTTTTTCACGGTTTTGATTGTCACATTTGTTGCAGAAACCTTGATTAATTGATCCAGCTTTTTATCTACGTCTCTCTCTCTCTTCGGACAACACACAGGAAACTGTTTCAAGATCACAAGACTTTCAAACTTTCCCAACTCTTCCATTTTTGTTGCCAAAGTGCAGCTCTGTGACAAGCAGGACATGGACCCACATCCAGGGCTCATGAAACAGCGTGTAAACTCAAACAGCAGCTGTAGTGCTGAATGCTTTCAAATGATACAAAGATACAAAACAAGAGCACAGCTGAAGCAAAGGGCCCAAAACTAGGAAACGTAGGGGAAACACTGAACAAAGGAAACACACAACCTGGATGATGCGACAAGGAACAGATGGAGACTCACACAATACAAACACACCAGATAATGTGGGAAACGAAGACAATAACCTAATGAAAACACAAACACAAGACACAGAAAAACAAGTGCTTGCAAAATGAACCAGGAAGTAACTAATTAGAGTTAGAAACATACAACACAGTGGTGAGGACTAGGTGAGCATACATCATAACCAAAACTCTAATAAACAAAACTACTTAAATACAGAAACTTGTACAAACAATTATTCAACTGCATTAATGTAAGAGACATTCCGGTCATGTGATTAAAATTATTCAAATTAGCTTTAATTAAAGCTTTAATGAACTTCTCCAAAAAAGGTTATCATCAACAAATACATTACTTTGTTGGGCACCTTTTAACTGTTAAAATCTACAATAAGACATTCCGGTAATTTCCTAATAAGAAGCCAAAAGCATCCAGCTCAGTTATGAATCCACTGCTTTCTTTAAGTCCCATCAAAGAACATCAGAGGGATTGGCTGTCATGATGGTAAAATAGTGCCTACTCTTCCTACACCACACACGTAGCCCATCCAGAGGTCAATACAGGTCCACTTTAGTCTCATCAGTCCATAAACAGACTCACAGCACCCTGCAGGCCTATCCATGTGTTTTCTTGCATATCAAAAATGCAGTGGCAAATATGCAAGGATCAAGCTTGCTTCATTAGTGTTCCTCTTATAGACTGTGTACTCAAACTAGCACAAGTTTTAAATTTGCATATAATCCTGCTAACTGTATCTCTTGGAACCCAGAGTGAGTTGGAAACCTGAAACCTCTGATTTCACGACTCAAAAAAGCTATTTTCTGAGTGCCATCCTTGGTACTCAGCTTTAAACATCTGGACAGGTGGGATTCATCTATAACACAGCTGAAGCATTTGTTAAACACAAAGAGCATAAAAGTTTTGGGTTCAGCAGTTTGGGAGTGATACACGCTAGTAAGTAGTTAAAAACAACAGCCGATGGGGGCTTCAATTCACAGAAAGATTAGTTTGTACATTTGATCAGATCATTTGAAAATCTTTAATTTGTAAGTGCTTAAAAATTCAGTTATGCAGTTAAGAGTTAACTGTGTGTGTGTACCGTGGCTGTAGTAACCATCTGAATCAGGCAGGCTGTAGGCTGGTCTGCTGCTGCTGAGAGGAAGGGAGGAAGGAAGCTCCTCATCTGAGTCAAAGCCACTGCCAAACAAAGCACTGAGAGATGAGAGGAGAGAGGAGTAATGTGCCACGTGGTGTAGCTTTAGTCACGTGAGTAATGAACTGCATGTGTGCATCTTGCATACTAACAGGCTGGCATTAGCTCTGACTTTAGCTGGGTTGTCAGTGCTGATGATGAAGTAACTCTTCTGCTTTGGGAAGTCCATAGGAAGCTCCATATCTGCAATCAGGTCCATGACATAGTCATGACCAGCTAACTCCACCCACTGACCCTGCTCCTTCATCAGAATTGAACTCCCCCTCCACCAGTCAGACACTCCCCTGCAAGATGCATGATTCAGATGTTCACAATATCTATACACACGTGTTAAAACTACTCTCTAAACATTATCATGGCATGTTCAGATGTTTACATTAAATGTTATGGAGCTAAAAATACAAAACCAAACCTGTGACGCAGAATGTTTCCTGCTAAATCCTCTCCATTGGTCCAGGAATGGACAGGACACAGGAAGGACCCTCCTGCAGGGAGAGATAAATTAATAAAAATGCAACAAATAGTTCCTTTGCTGCTTTAAATTACACTCATTAACTAACAAACTGTGTTAATTGCGCAATACAAAGCACATGAGCCCCACAGTCACATCACCTGATCCTGAATGACAATGAATAATCAATGATCTGGGGATGTAATTGATCCTACACAATAAAAGCAATGCCAGGTCGTCCCTCTTTCTTTTCTCTGAGGTGTGTGCCAGTTTAGACCCTGGGTGTGAAAGACTTCCTAAATATTTGAACAGCTCCTGGTTTTTTTCCTCAAAAGAAAGATACTGATTGTAAAGGAAAATGTTGTGAATTTTTTATTTACTTTGCTTGAATCATTTGGAGTTCTTGGAAAAGAGCAAAGAAGCAGACCGATGAAAAGTTGAACAACGCAACATTAAGCAGGTGAGATATTACCATCAAGACAGTGCACGTGCAACACCATGTTAGCCTTCTTCCTATTGGCGGTCCACTCAAGCAGCGACAGCGGATACGTCCGCGCAGTCTCGGGGGCGGAGCCTGATCCCAGCTGCATCTTCTGATTCGCTTGGATGAGTCTGTGCTGCAGCAGCACCTGCCAGCCAGCAGGAGCGTGGTCCGACACGAACCTGGAGCAGAGGTGAAATGAGGTTCAACAGTGGAGTAGAAGTCTCTTACTTACAGCATATAGCTTCTTAACATGTGTTTTTTTTAACCTCTCAAACTATTTGCTAAATAATTAGTTGCGAGGTCATTTTATGATTTCTCACTTGAGCAGATATTTGTCCATCTTGGCCGATGGGGCGAAGCAGCAGACACATGCCAGCAGCAGCAGCCAGCCTCTCTCTGCATTCTCAGAGTTTATGTTCCTCCACACCTGGTTGACAACCTGAGCCAGGATCTCATCTCGTAACCCTGGCGACGACAAGCCTCTCTGGACGATGTAATTCCCAAACATGTTTTCCTGCGCCCCATTCAGATGAGGGTCCCCCATAAACCGTAATACCTGAAGAAAACAGAATCCAGGTGAAAGCTGTAACAACTAACTCTGTCGGTTTTACAGCTTTATGGCAGTCTGGTGACGTATTTGTGTGTGTTTTTGTAGGTTTGTCCTACAAACACGAGAAAATAGAAGAGACTTTTTTATTCTGCTGTTAAATCTTTTACAATGTAAAAAGCATGTTCCAAATTTCTTATTTGCTTCCCAGTTAGTAGCAGAACCTCATAATTAGAGGATGGTTTGCTTCTGTGTAACGAGAGTAACATAATGACATGATGCAAGTGTGTCTCTGTGAAACTGTTATCATTTTAAATTACTGCAGTGCTCAAGAATATTCAGGGTAAATGGGAAACTTAAACTGATGTTTTATGATGCTTTCATTACAACCTGTTATGGCATAGTTGTGACGTCGTAGGGCGTTGCATTAAAAAAGTGTATGACACTTGATATGATTTCTTGAAGTTTGTGTTCAAGGTTAAATTTGACCTTCGGCACTAACAATGAAGATTAAGGTCAAATGCTTAGCTAACTTACGTACTCATTTCCCCAAGACCTGCTATACTGTTGAGAGGTTTGAAGACGATTCATAAAAACTGGGTAATAGGAAGGTTTTTACTGATTTTCACATTTGACCTTGACCTTGGGGCGATTTCCACCCAACTGAAATCAGCTCGAGCTCTTCGATGTTTCAAAACTGTGCACGACGGACAGACAAACAACCAAAAAGAACAGTTTACATAGTCTCTGCCTTTTAAGGGGAGAACAAAGATCACCCTACCATGTTGAAAAGCTCCAGAGCCTCCCCTCTCAGGTCGTCCTCCACACGGGTCAGAGATGACTCCAGAGGAGCCATCAACATCCCAAACTTTGGCTCCTACAGCAACAAAAGATTTGCTGTGTTTAATAAACAGTTTTTCAAACAAATCTACCTAAAACCTTTCAAAATTATGTTATAACCGATAAATCTAAACACAAACTTCAACAGCTGTCCTCAAATCTGAGTAACCACGCACATACACAGTATGTTACACAGCATATGACGACATGCTGATGCACGTGCATCTCACCCTGAAGTAAATCTGAACATAGCGGAAGAAAGGGTAGTTGTTGATGTCCAGAGGCAACGTGAGTTCAGCATCATCCTGGATATGAGGAGCCTGAAGCAGAGCCAAGCAGTCTGAGTGCAACTCCCTCCGGACTGAAGGGAGTAACAGACAAGGTTAAACGAGGAGTCAGCCAGGAGTAATGCAAGAGCACCAAAAACTTACATGTACAAAATCCTAAAACTTTTTTACATTCCTTGACAATTTTTCAGTGTCTGGTTTATTTATTAGATGATGGGCCTCCTGCTCCACCCTGTCAGAACTGTTCGTATCATTTCTTAATTTGATACTGTCAGTGCTGATGAGATAAGACACATTCAAACAGCTGGCTGGAGCACTCACACACACATGAATAATCTATGTGCATGTGATGCACACTGACGGGAAAGACGGACAGACGTCTACACACCTCCTGCTGTCTGCAGCAAAGCGCCCAGCTCTGCAGGGATCACCAAGTGGGTCACATTAACCACCTCCCTTTTGGTCAGCTCCTGAAAGAAACACCACTTTTAATCTATCTGCAAACTAACAATGAGGTTAGAAGAGCTCTAACATAGGCTGCTGGTTTGAACTCATGCCAGTGTGCAAAAACAAAAACACGGATGCTTTTCTCATTGAAGTCTTGTCTTAGCTAGTCCTTCATCTTACCATCTCTCTCCTCCTCCTCTCCTCTTCTGCTTTCCTCCTGGCTTCAAACTTCATCTTCAATGAGATCCCAAAAACACACGGTCAGTGTTTTAATGTAAATCCAGAGCAGAAAGACTCAAAAGCACAAAGCAGGCTTAAGGGTGGGTCATATTTGAAATTATTTTCTTAGAAATGAAGAAAACATGAAGATGTTTGAAAGGACACTGCATCAAATACATGTGTTACTTAAAAAAAATCACAGGCAGAAGGTATAAACATCAGTCCAACAAACCACAGTATCTCAGTGTACCTTAATGTACTGCTTCCGGTTGACATACATGTGGACCAGAGAGCGGAAACGGACCAGACTCTCCCTCATTTTCACATAGCGTTTCCTAGAAGATGAAGAGAATCTCAGTACAATGAATCCTAATGCACTGATTGTTGATCTTGTTTCCTAACATTTGCCACATTCACAGAGGTAAACTTCACAAGCATGCTACAAGCTCAAGCACAACAGTTCACTGAAAGCTTTATTTCTTAATTATAGTGATTTTAATGTAAAGACACAATTTACATTTTCTTTACCTCACTGCCCTTTTAACCTAAACTATGTGGTTGAGCACATACTGGAATTCAGAATCATTACATTGAAAGAATGCAGGACTCCAATCAGAATCTGAATTTGCGTTTTGTTTTGTAATAAAATCTACTGAAAATGTAAGATCTCTGTGGGACACCTCACCTAACGAGGAAGCCTAGGCAGTGTGCCTGAAACCTGCTGATTTTGTTGCGGAATTCAACGTAGCGTTTCCTGACGAAGAACATGCGAGTGTAACGCTGCAGGGTGAGGGCGGCAAGATGACGAGAGCGCTCTCGCTTACACTCCAGCAGCTGGTAGATGTCCTCCTTTAGGAACAACTGCCATTCATACACACACACATATAAGTGCAATTATTCAAATACATGTGTGAGTTCATGCAAAAAAAAAAAGATATAACATTGATCCAACAAACCATAGTATCTCAAATTTCAAGCTACAAAGCAGGAAAACAATCTCTACTCAGCCATTAGACCAGCAGTTGGTGCTGGGTCTGTCTTTAACTGTGAGGCTTAATGTGAACAAGCTCACCTTTGTGACTCCAACATGGTAGGCTCCTGGTCGGAGAGGACACAGTTTACCGAGCAACAACACACAGTTCTCTCCATTTGCCACAGGAAGTGTCTGTATCCCCGCCAGGGACTTGTACCTGACAGAGACACACATTCAAATTAGGGGTGCTCAGTCGATAATAGTGATTTTTAAAAAAGAAGTCCTGATATAAATTGATACTGACTGTGTCGCAATTCAGACACGTAATATGGACAGAGGTATTGGGTCACGATCAGCTGTTAAACTGTTGTTTAACAGTTGCATTGTTTAGGAGCCAAAGTAGTTCAGACCATGCAAAGTTACAGAGCAGGGTCGCCAACTTACACCAAAGCTCTTGGAGTACTGGCAGCTTCACTTCATGGCTCTCCATAGCTGAAGGCCATGCTTTAAGCATTAGATCACCAGACACAATGCCAAGTGCTAGGCGGAGTAAATCATGCCACCACTGAACTCTGAAGCAGTGGAAAATAGTTCTGTGGCATAACAAATCACATTCCTCTATCAGGCAGTCTGATGGATGAGTCTGGGTTTGAACACCAAACTGCATTGTGCCAACTGTAAAATTTGGTGGAGGAAGGAAAACGCATTATGGACGCATTAACAGACACATTATGAATGGCTGTGGATTTATAATGGGATGTAATAAAGGCTCCTGTAGGTATAATGTGTACGTGTCCTCATAGTCAATGTAGTGTATATTGTGTGAAATGTGTAATTATTCTTTTTGTGTGCTTTTATGGTTGTGGTTGTGGTTACAGAATCTTCCATAGTTCATTTTTTTTTGCCAAATAAGACAACACCATAAACAAAGTTACACATGAATTAAAATTTTAAACTTTGGTGGCATGGCTTTGTACTGGGAGGGCAGCAGCAAGACCCCACCAAAGAGCAGCGCAATGACAGCAGCTATGACACTGATTAAGTCAGACAAAGCATGAGAAGAAGAAAATTAGTTAAAGTTGGGTTGCAAAGTGACTTGCAGAGACACGTGCAACTGTGGACCAGTTGAAGTAGCTTAAATAAGGCATGACATATGATATTTGCAAATCAGAAGAGCATCAGCTATGAGTTGCCACTTCGCGGTCTGCTCAGTTATTGCTGGGATTTTCTGTTATAGAAGGTTCTCCTCTGCCTCAGCTGTGAGATCAATTATCTTCATTTTTTTTGGGAACACAAAGTCCTGAATAGCTTCACAAACTCAACAAATACGCTGAGGATCAGAGTTCATGTTACCTGAACAGGAAGACATAGAATGGCATTCTGATTGGATATCCCTCTTTGCGGATCCTAATGGTCTCCATGACACCAGAGTGCCGCAGCTGGCTGTTCACCAGCTCGTCCTCAAACACACCTGGTTGCTAAAGACAGGTGTCCAAAAGCTCAGAAACACTAATGTATGTGCAGGTAATTAACTTTAAATATATGACACTTCAAGATCTACCTTCATGTTATTTGGCTTAATGCAGCGAACGAAATAAGGATTGCACCTGAAATGGAACAACAAAAACATGATAATTTTTTTTTAATGAAAACAATAAAAACCAATTATGATCTGAGAGAGAACATGTGTACTTCACCTCTCCATCTTCTCCACCAGCTCCAGCAGGGACTGTTGAAACTTGCTGCTGACGGTGGGAGCTTGGTATTTTCTGGTGACTGTGCTGCTCTTCCTTATGTGACCTCTCTGCTGACCCGTGGCCTCTGCATGAACCAGGAAGAGGTTCGATACCATCTGGAAACACACAAATGCACAGATTAATACAGACTTTACAAAAACATTGCTTAGCGATTGTGTCGATTAGATTAAGTTTTAAGACCAAGCCGACCTTGTTCTTGCTCTGAATGAACAGGTCCAGGACATCCTGACGCACCTGATCGTAGTTCTTATCCAGGAATTTGTAAACCTGCATCAGTGACAGATGATCACTCTGTTTGTCATTACAGTTCACCACATTTTCAATACTTCAATGAATTATAATACAATGAAACTAGCCAAGAGAATCTCAGTGAGGAGCTTAGTACCTGGTAAGTGACCCGCCCGGCAAAATGCTTAATTGTGAACTCTGGGACCGGCATCTTTGGCTTCATGTACAGTGGATTACTGCCATGGTGATAGTGACACTTTTGAAGAAAAGTGTTGTCTGTTGCCTGTCAACAAATTACCACACCAAAAGTCCCAGTTTTATAATCCATATAAGGAATCTGAAAGTCTGTCAGTACTTTCTCCTCATCCTCACCTGCGGGAAACCGCTCTGGTCATCCAGAATCCTCAGTATCCCATGAGGCTTAGTGGCAATGAGGTCGATGCAGGGCTGGTTGTCGTTGAATGTGATGTCCTGCCATGGGATCTGCTCCCTGCTGTACTCCTCCTTCAACAGGATCACATAAAAGATCATAAAATATTAGTTGCATTATTACCTAAGCCAGATGTTGGCAACCTGCAGCTCACGAGGTACAGGTTAGGGTTACCTATTAATACATATACTATATGCAATACATTCATTTATCCTCCCCCAGTTACATCTGTCATCCACCCGTCTATCCCTCATCCCCCAAGTGCTGCTCTTTTACTCCTGCTGTTTGGTAGGAGGAGGTAAAATGGCTGTTTTGATGTTGAACGTTGCCAACGCCTGAAATAAGCAAAGGATTCACATGTTTATATGCCACTAATCTACACTTAATGAGATCCATTTGCGTGCATATGATGCCTCAAATATGTGCATTTTTTGTCCTCAATTGTTATAGGACAAGTGCGTGAGTGTGTGCTTTTCATCGGCAAGTGTGACGTGGACTCACCTGTTCCTCTCTGAATACGATCCTGTTAAAGAAGAGTTGCAGGTACTCGTTTGCATAATTAATGCAAAGCTGCTCGAAGCTGTTGAGGACCAGATCCTGTTGTCCCACACACACACACACACACACACACACACACACACACACACACACACACACACACACACACACACACACACACACACACATATATATGGTAATTCTTATGGTAATTCTGTCTCATCATCATGCCTACAAAGTGATTATCTGGACGTCCCTCTATCTTTAACGTGCAACATTGTTAAGCCCTCCTTCCTTCCTTCCCTGCTGATAGTAATCTGAATCTTTTCTCTTATAGTTATAAGTTATGTCAATAAAAGCTTTGACTGCATTACTGGGAATGCGACGGATTATTTCAAATGCTTTAGCTTTAGCTGTCAGTCTTACATCTGACTTTAGAGTACTTCGGTATACAGAGGAGTTCATAGTCAACATAGTAACTGCAAGGCGTCCAGGCCCCGTGGCTGGAAAACAAGCCGAATCATCACCCCTGCACCACATGTTTAACAGCTGGTATCAGGTGTTTGTGTTGATAAGCTGCTCGTGCACCGCAAATTTGCACACTTAAACTGTCCTAAGAGAAGAGGCTTCCTTCTGTGAGCCTTTCCAAACAGGCCACACTTGTTCAGTCTTTTTTATAACTATACTGTCATGAACATTAACATTCAACATCCTAACTGAGGCCTGTAGAGTTGAGATGGAGCTCTTGGGTTTTTGCAGTTTTTCTGAATATTGCACGGTATGACCTCAGGGTGAATTTGCTGGGTCGTTCACTCCTGTGTCGATTGGCAGCAGTTTTTAATACTTTCCACTTGTGACTAATCATTCTCATGATGTAGTGTGAGTGAAAGGTTGCTGCTTCAATTCCAGCCAAAGCCACAAATCCCCTTTGGGGTGGTGTCATGAAGGGTATCTGGTGCAAAACTCTAATGAATCAAAGACGTAGAGCTGCCGGCTGCGACGACCCCATGTGGCAAAGGAGCAGCTGAAAGTAGCATTCCTATAATTCCTATAGAAGAAGTAAAGCTGCCTCTGCATTTTGGCTTAATAATTATTAAATAAATAATGACAAGGTGCAATATATCATGCGCTGTTATTCATCTGTGATTAAGTTTAAAATAATTTTAGAACCTACTAAGGATTCATTGCATTCTAGTTTTTTCTGAGGGATTTAAGGTCAAACATACAACAAGGCTCCGTTACCTCAAATCCATAAATGTCCAGGATGGAGATGGAGAGGGTGTGTTGGTGAGGGTACACCTGACCATTGATCCTCTCTGTTAACCAGCGGAAGAGCAGCGAATATAGGATCTTGGCAACAGCATCTCTGGATGTGTGTGAGTGGTGGGCAGCGAGTGACACAATGATATAAGAAATTAAAAAGGAGAAAGAAAACATATGCATTGTTATTAGCAAGAATTTTATTAGGTAAGACTTTAAGACAAAAGGGATTTTAAGATTGCATATGTGTTAGTAATTTAGTGCACATGTATTAGTGTGCATGCATACATAATGATAAAGATGCAAACATGTTATTTAAATAAATTAACGGTAATAAATGTAATGATTTTTTATGCACGGCATGTTCTGTGTGTAGCTGTCTCTCACCTGGCATCAATAGCACTTTCTACACTCAGAGGGGTGTAGATCTTGTCCCTCATTGTTTCCTGTGAAAAAACATTAAGTCAGCACGTTTTACGCAGGCGTCTACCTGATAATATAGAGTCTCAAGCCTCCTTTCATCTTGGTTTGAAGTTGAAAGGCTTTAAGTTCAAATTAAAAATGGAATTGCACCCAAATTTCCTGCTAATGTGCCCCTCATTGGTGCCTGTTCAGTAACTGTGGTGAGGCTCTCATCTTGGGCTGACAGATCAGGTGGTCTTATCCTCCACCTGCTTCCTGCTTCTTCCAGTCTGTTTTTCCTTTTTTTTTTTCCTGCACTGTAATATATATTTTATAGAAGCAGAACTTTTTCTTCTGCAATTGAAGAATCACAACAGGATGCCATAAGTTCTGGGCTGAAGAGTTAGGCTTTTCACCCTTTGTTTTTACTGAACTGCTTCCTATTTAACTTCTTTTCCTATATTTGTATCCACTCCTTTGCATCCTTTCAGCTCTTCCCTTCTTCCCTTTCTTCTACTCTCTTATTCATTGATTCGGGTGTCTTAAACTTGAGATCTGATCAGATAAAGAATGCTTTGAGACTTGAGACCCTCTCTTGCCAAACACACTTAATTATCACACACACACACGTGTGCGCTCACACAAAGACACTAATGTGTACACATGATTCCTCCAGTGAGAGGAAATGAGTGGGTACGACTCACCCCTCTCCTGTTACTCAGGCACCTTTGTAATTAGGAATTCAATTATACAAAAGGTCCTTGGTTAGTGTATAGGAGCATGTGTATGTGGAAGATATAAGGTGGGTGATAATTAGATGTTTCTCTCTTTTAATTCTCCCATCACCCTCATTCCTCACCAGAGGCAGCACCAGAGGGGTCAGGACGAGTTGAATCAGCCCTTAAACCGGACAGAGAAACTACTGGACACTTACACATAAAAGAAAATGGATCCAAAAAACGAAATACTAAGAGGAGAAATACTTTGCTTAACAAAAAAAATATGTTTTTTTTCTACTTTGTTCATGGATATGATGGAAATTAAGCAAACAAGGAAATACACAAATAGGTGGATGACCAACTGGAACACTTGTATGGACAGTGGGATATTTTAATTGTTCCTTTCCTGGATTTGGTATGGATTCACTTCATTTCCTAGCTGGATGATAATGACCACATCAATAGCTCATGTACTGGTAATTAAGGATAACTGAACAGCAAATGCGATGGAGGATCCTCTCTTTTTTTGGCTATTGTAAGTCACGTGCAAGTCCTTTAACTGCGCTGTTAACACTGACAGTTCCTTCAAAAGCTCCATCAAACTTTCTGGAGCTGTGAAATCTCTTATGCTGCTTTAAAATAATAAAGGAGATAAGTTCAAGTAAAGCCAGGCTTCTGCAAAGGTTTTTATGCTCTCTGGTTTTAATACTTACTGGTATTGTGACACTTCTCCACACTCAGTTTGGGTTAGTTTGGAATTAATAACAAAAATAGTTTGTTTTTTAATCACACTTGACCATGTGGGCAACAATAAGGAAAAATGGAACCAAATTTATTTATTTGTACTGCAAACAATCTAGGTTTTAAAATTGTCACCACCTAACTGTTTACTGTTTTTAAAGAAGTTCCTTCAGAGCATAAAAAAAATGACCAATTTACCATCCTGTCCCAGTTTGAATTCAATGGACCTCAAGAAAGTTCACATGAAAACAAAACAGCATTTCTTCTTTATGCAGGAGAATGTGTAAGGTATAGAAATGAAGACACTAAGATGCAAACAGCAAAGCCTCGTGGAAATAAGTAACTGCGTTCTTTGGACAAAGAGGATTCCCAGCTGGTTAGATTCAAAAACCAGAAGCATAAAAAGCTGAAATCACAACAAAAGCATGACTGACAGATTCACGCCCTGGAGCTATAAGCTGAATGTGGCTGTTCATCTCTGCAGCACACTAAAAATAAAAGAAGTAAAAAGATGCTTTCCCTTTTAAAATAGCATAGCTCAGTCTAAATACTATATATGAATTTTTTCTGTGTCCTCTGATGTATCGAGGATGTGTGGATGTGTGCAGCCGTTTACATTCATGCTTTCCCCCTTGCGAGTCTCCAGCGCTGTGGGCTGCCTCCTGTTCTGGGTTGGAAAAATTAAACCAGTGTGAAAGTGCCCTCAAATTGCATTCTAACTGCAGACCACCAGATGGCTGCAAAAAAGACATTCAGACCTATAGAGGCCTATAAGAAAGAGGACTTTCTGACTTGACCACTCTATACAATTTCCTGCTGAGTTGATGGTTTCAGTCACTCGTTTTAGGAGTCTCCATTTAATGATTAGTTATTAATAATCTCTGGCTCTCTTCCACAGTCTGTCTTTTGTCCTGTCTCCACCGCTCAGGCCCAAACGGTGACAGCAGATGGCTGCTCCTCCCTGAGGCTCTTTCTGCTGGAAGTTTCTTCCTGTAAAAAGGGAGTTTTCCCTTCCCACTGTTCCCAAGTGTTTGCTAACAGAGGGTTATTGTTGTTCTCTGTTTCCTCTGTGTTATTTTAGGGTCTTTAGCTTACAATATAAAGTGTCTTGGGGCAACTGTTGTGATTTGATCCATATCTAAATAAAACTGAATAGAACTGAATTAATTTAGACTGACCCGTCCTTGTTTTTTGGTTTGTTTTTTTTTATATATATTGTCTGTGCATCATACTTTTTTGCCCCTTTTGCCTTCACTGGCTGAGGCAGATGGCTGCCCTTCCTGATCTTGGTCCTGGTGAGAGACGTTTCCTCCTCAATGATGTCAAGAGCTTAATCAAATTGTGCTGTTTGTGTATAATGTTGCAAAGTCTTGTTTTCACCATGTGAAAGTGATACAGATCATTAAAAGTGACCTATTAAAGGCACATCTGCATTTATTTGAATACCACTAATACACCAACAAAGGTAAAAGCTAAAGTTGCAAAACTCAGTTTTAGACTTTTTTTTCATGCTGTACATTCACTTGAGGATGTCTGCCATTTTGCTGGTAGTTTATCAGCTGGGTCAAAAAAGTTACTGGGTTGAATGTTTGGCTCTTAATAAAGGAATCAAAACTTTTTTTTAAAAAAGGGAACAATTTTAATCAGACTCCTCCAATAAATCTTTGATAAACTGAGTCACTCTCCTGCACTACACAGAGCTATGAGCTGTCCTAGATTTAAACTAAATCAGCAGTGAAGTCCTTCGATAAATAATCATGCACCTCCTTCACAAATGCTGAAGGCTCTCCTAGTTTACAGGCTGCTATATGCACATGTTTGATTTGTTTTTCAATTCTTTCACTTCTAAATTCATTGTTCTGTTTAAGGCCTTAAAACGCAAACATATACAAAGTATCTTCCAATGTTTTGCACTCCAGTATATTTAAATTCCCCTTTAAAACATGGCATGGTTCATTGGAATTGATAACCAAATACTCCACAAAACCCCCTGCTTTATAGAAATAGTCAGGTTGGATAGAAACGATCCTAATAACCGACCAGAGGAGGTCAGGATGAGAAAAGAACCATCCAAGCAGGTCGATGACAGCAGTTTGCCTCTTTCTTGTCTTTCATTCTTTCACTCTGTGTGTGGCATCAACACATGTGTCTCCTTTGTGTCTGCGTAAGCGACACTCTGGGCGATACAATGCCTTTAATGTAACCACAGCTGTGTAAGTAAGGTAGAAACGCTGGCATAGTGCCACATCACCTTCCTGTTGACAATGTAGAAAAATCACCTCCAGGTTCAGGAATGTCACAGACTGCAGTGCTATGCTTGTTGTTTTCAAGCACTGAACGAACAAAAGACAGAACATCAGTGCACATGCAGACGGGACACGGTTTGATACTGACTGTGACTTTGTAGGTGACGGCTTTCTGTAGTCCTTCTGGTGAGATCTGCAGCAGCTCTGCGACTACTCTGATCTCCTGAGTGCTAACCACTGACGCCACCTCCTGGCCATCAGCCTGCAGTTCAGGAGGAAAATAGAAATGCAAAAAGAAAAGAAAAAAGAAAAGAAGAATTACCTGTGGGAAAATCTTTGCTGCTTATCTTACATAGTTTTTATTGTCCTGATAAAGTTTAGTTTATTTTAGAATTTAACTCATTAGTCTAGGTGACTGAACACTTTGCACCTTATTATTATATTAATCAAAATTTTAAAAAAGGGATGACATACGAGAAAAACCTGAGAAATAAAATAATTCACACCTCATGCCTCTGAAAGTAAACATTGCCCAGGTGCAGTATGGAAGACAGGACTCTAAAGATGGACGACTGGTCATCCGCAGTGAAGTGAAGGATTTCCATGGCAGAAAGCAGACGTAGAAAGTCCTCTGCATCGTTCTTCCCTTTTATCCCACAATCCTCTCCCTGTGTGCAGAACGAGAAGACCAGCAGTGCTAAACGTGACCCGAGAAGGATTTTTGGAAGGGTCGTGACCCAAAATCACTGACAATGATGATGATCAAACTCAAACTTCTTCTACCTGGTTGAGGTAATAGTAGGTTTCAGCTTCTTGTAGATAGAAGGCCTGCTTCTGCTGCGAAGGAAGACCTGCCAGCATCTCGTAGAAGATGTGATAGTTCCTCTCATTTTTGGCCTGAAGCACACGCGGCACATTTACAGCAACACTTCCATATACAGAAATAAACAAGCTATCGAGACCTTTGTGTCAGCTTGCCTCACCTGAAAGACGATGCGGGATTTTTCCAGCAGATACTGAGAGGTTATGGCACCACTGATCCTACCACTGGGAAAACAAGGAATCAGAAAACACACGTGAAAAAGAAGCAGCTTCAGAAGTAAAAGAAGCTGGAATGAGATCAGAGCAGAGGTCAAAGTTTTGCTTGTTGCTTTTTAAAAAAAACAACAACTCACTTCTCCATAAAGACCTCAATGTACTTCCCAAAGCGACTGGAATTATCGTTCCGCACGGTTTTGGCATTTCCAAAAGATTCCAGAAGAGGAGCTGCCTCAAGTATCTATCAGGGATGCCAAACACACAAACAATATATAAACCTTTATCAGATCGCCTTATAAAGGGAGCAGTAACTGTAACTGTACAACACACAGGAAAGAAGCTGTTTCAGTGGGAATGTCTGGCCAAATGAATCATAGAAAAACACACCACGGCAAAACACAGTAACCTGATATTCTTATGGCCATTGATGAAAATTACTTGTAAAATATAAAACACGCAGCATGCAGAAAACCCCAACTACCTCAATCTGCACCCAAGGAAAGCCACCGGAGATACAGGCAAATAAAAAATATGCACAAGCACATTAGTCGTCATTACAAGAAGGAAAACTTTGAGTGTCTTAGTTTGCAAATATCCAACTCTGATGGCAGTTCTTTATTCATGTCAGGAAGTGTGTGTGCATACCTGTTGCGCAAGATTAGTTTTGTGAAGTACAGCTGCTAGGTAGCGAAGGATGAGTTTGGTGGACTCGGTTTTTCCAGACCCACTCTCCCCACTGAAACACAGTAACAGAGTCTCACTGGGAATACAGAAAACCCATCAACACGGCAATGAAAACAATCAAGAACTGCCCCAGTGCTCAGCTGAGCTGGAGACAACTTTTCCTCAGATAACCAGCACCTGGAAAGTTTGAATATTAGTGCATACAAACTGAGCTTATCAAACATTACAATGCCCAGTTTTTAATGTTTAAAATTTGTGTGTGCTTTTTCAAAGCCCAGATACAAAAAGCTTTATTGTTATACAGCCATGATGGGTTAATTATGAGGTGCCATTTCCATAAAGGAACACTTTGGAAACACTGATCTCAGTGGAAAGAAATGATGCTGATATCTACACAGATATGGACTGGGCAATGTGCTCAATGAAATGATGGCACATCAAGTGATAGAAATGATTCCATGCATGCCTGACTACGTCGGGGGGTGTTCCTAATGAGACAGATGGTGTCCTGGGGGATCTCTTCCCAGATCTGGGCCAAGGCATCACTGAGCTCCTGGACCGTCTGAGGTGCAGTCTGGCAGCGTCGGATGGACTGAAACATAATGTCCCAGAGGTGTTCTATTGGATTTAGGTCAGGCAAACGTGGGGGCCAGTGAATGGTATCAGATCCTTCATCCTCCAGGAACTGCCTACATACTCTTGGTACATGAGTTGAGCAGCAGGAGGAATCCAGTATCCACTGCACCAGAGTTGGGTGTATCAGTGGGTCCAAGGATTTCATCCCGATATGTAACGCCAGTCATGGTGTCAGTGCCTAGCCTGTAGAGGTGTGTCCTCCATGGATATGCCCCCCCAGACCATCCCTGACCCACCACCAAACCAGTCATGCTGACATCCCAGAAGTTTAACTAACTTGATGGTATACTCTGAATAAAAAGTGTTCCTTTTATTTTTGAGCAGTGTAAAAGATTATATTCTTTAATGGTAGGCAAAAATAACTCTGAACTATTTTGATCATCTGCATTCTACTAGTGGAAATACAAAAACAGGTTTGATGCAAGGAAAAGCTCACCAAGTGTGAACATTACCCTGAATTAGAGCACAGCTTCTCAGGACTTCCAGAAATCATTTAGAGCGTCCATTATTTGATCCTTTTCACCTCTGTGGTGGTGCTTGCAGAGTGTTTGACTTAATTGACTAAGTGATGTGAGACAAGGCTAATCTTGCATTAGGCAAGGCTTCGGTTCCACTTTTGCATTAAACCACCTGAAAGAGTTTCACACACATGCACACACAGGTCCATTGATCTACCATTGCCAAGCACTAAATACCACCATTATGTAAGCTTGGCCAAAGGGTGTGTGTGTGTGTGTGTGTGTGTGTGTGTGTGTGTGTGCATTTAGGGATGCTGGCACCTTCACCGCATTCCAGCATAGGGTTTCAGCTCAATGGCTGCTTAGCTAAAAACAGGACCATTATTGGTCACTGTACACCAGACCTCAGTTACCCCTTAACACATACTAACTGAAACACAAAGACACACTTGCAAGCACACAGCCCGCACAAATGTACTCACACACAAACACACACACACACCTCTGAAACATAACCTGCTCCAACTCAGACCTGGCTGGGCTTTCCTTACAGGTGTCTCCTTCCGAATACGGCTAAAGTGTTCCAGGTTTGTGAGGGCGTGTGCATGTGTGAGTGTGCGTTTATGTGTATATTATGAGTGTCTTTTGTCATATCCAAAAGCATAGACCTATGTTTGTGCAAACCTCTGGATGTCGGTGTGTTTGTTTTCACAGATGAGCGCAGCCACTAAATGAAGTCACACTCAAGTGTTGGTAAATTTAACTTCACTGGTTTATGTGCGTGTGTGTGTTTGTGTGTGTGTGTGTTTTTTCTTCCAAGAGATCAGTTCTGACATGGAGCAAAACACTCCATCTTAAGTTTGCTGGCCAGTAAACCACAGACAGACACTCATGAATTTACAAACACTAATCCATCTGTAGATGGAAACCTTTAACCAAGAAGCTTCACGGACAACCTTGAAAGGTTACCAATGATATATCAAAGGATACAAAAGAAAAGCTTCACATTGCAAGACTCAGATGTTAAAAATACAATGCACCGTATAATTAACTGCATGCACGTCTCTGTTGTCTGATTCATATTTACAGAGAAAGTGACTGAAGAAACAATGAGAGTCAGCCTCTTACCTGATTATTATGACCTGTTTTTTTTTGGCATCCATCATTTGGGAATGAGCAGCGTTTGCTATGGCAAACAAATGCCTGAAGGAGAAAGAGATACACAACAAGCCTTCAGACTCTTAAAGGAAGCGCAACAAAGTATTCTGCTTCCCTCTTTCTGCACTTTGATCCTCTGTTGCTGACAGTTATTTACAGCTGTCAGCATGGATGAAACATACTTAATAATTTGACATTTATTGTTTTGTTTTTTAAATATAAGGTTCACGGTTCAACAATTTTAGAGTGAAAATAACTTACGGAGGGTTTTCTCCCAAGGCACAGCCCTTGTACATGAGCACCATGTCTGTCCCATAGGTGTTTTGCATCTTATAGGGGTTCACAGACACCAGAATGCTGCCTATGTATGTCTGGACAAAAAAGAAAGAAGAGGTTCACAAAGAAAGTAATTTTACCATAATGATCATAGTGTATGTGTGTAGGAACATGTGTCTGTGTACCCTATCTATCCCTTAACACGTGGACCAATCTGAACAAAAACTTTTCATGAACATTGTCACACATACCACAATTATTAATATATGTTTTAAAAACACTTATTATAAATCCCAATTCTTTTGATTTTCTGTGTTACTATATGTGCATTTCACTATCCCCCTGCAAATGCTATCTTTCACTGTTTGTCACGTTCAACATACAGGGAGTGCAGAATTATTAGGCAAATGAGTATTTTGTCCACATCATCCTCTTCATGCATCTTGTCTTACTCCAAGCTGTATAGGCTCGAAAGCCTACTACCAATTAAGCATATTAGGTGATGTGCATCTCTGTAATGAGAAGGGGTGTGGTCTAATGACATCAACACCCTATATCAGGTGTGCATAATTATTAGGCAACTTCCTTTCCTTTGGCAAAATGGGTCAAAAGAAGGACTTGACAGGCTCAGAAAAGTCAAAAATAGTGAGATATCTTGCAAAGGGATGCAGCAGTCTCAAAATTGCAAAGCTTTGAAGCGTGATCATCGAACAATCAAGCGTTTCATTCAAAATAGTCAACAGGGTCGCAAGAAGTGTGTGGAAAAACCAAGGCGCAAAATAACTGCCCATGAACTGAGAAAAGTCAAGCGTGCAGCTGCCAAGATGCCACTTGCCACCAGTTTGGCCATATTTCAGAGCTGCAACATCACTGGAGTGCCCAAAAGCACAAGGTGTGCAATACTCAGAGACATGGCAGAGGTAAGAAAGGCTGAAAGAAGACCACCACTGAACAAGACACACAAGCTGAAACGTCAAGACTGGGCCAAGAAATATCTCAAGACTGGTTTTTCTAAGGTTTTATGGACTGATGAAATGAGAGTGAGTCTTGATGGGCCAGATGGATGGGCCCGTGGCTGGATTGGTAAAGGGCAGAGAGCTCCAGTCCGACTCAGACGCCAGTGGAGGTGGAGTACTGGTTTGGGCTGGTATCATCAAAGATGAGCTTGTGGGGCCTTTTCGGGTTGAGGATGGAGTCAAGCTCAACTCCCAGTCCTACTGCCAGTTTCTGGAAGACACCTTCTTCAAGCAGTGGTACAGGAAGAAGTCTGCATCCTTCAAGAAAAACATGATTTTCATGCAGGACAATGCTCCATCACACGCGTCCAAGTACTCCACAGCGTGGCTGGCAAGAAAGGGTATAAAAGAAGAAAAACTAATGACATGGCCTCTTTGTTCACCTGATCTGAACCCCATTGAGAACCTGTGGTCCATCATCAAATGTGAGATTTACAAGGAGGGGAAACAGTACACCTCTCTGAACAGTGTCTGGGAGGCTGTGGTTGCTGCTGCACGCAATGTTGATGGTGAACAGATCAAAACACTGACAGAATCCATGGATGGCAGGCTTTTGAGTGTCCTTGCAAAGAAAGGTGGCTATATTGGTCGCTGATTTGTTTTGTTTTTGAATGTCAGAAATGTATATTTGTGAATGTGGAGATGTTATATTGGTTTCACTGGTAAAAATAAATAATTGAAATGGGTATATATTTGTTTTTTGTTAAGTTGCCTAATAATTATGCACAGTAATAGTCACCTGCACACACAGATATCCCCCTAAAATAGCTAAAACTAAAAACGACTTCCAAAAACATTCAGCTTTGATATTAATGATTTTTTTGGGTTCATTGAGAACATGGTTGTTGTTCAATAATAACATTATTCCTCAAAAATACAACTTGCCTAATAATTCTGCACTCCCTGTACATCACCTGCGTGGAATTTAAAAGACATCAAAATTTGTATCTGTCGTACGGTGGCCCTGAGAGGCCAAACGGACTGCAACTTAAGAAAACACCAGCAATAAGAAAAACGCTGCAAAAGGACACAAAACACAACAGAAATAGGAAAAACGACAACGGAAATAGGAAAAAACAGATATCCAAAAGCACAAGGGAAGTGTTTCTGGGGAGATCTGACGGACCAGCTGCAGGAACCAAAATATGTTAAGAATTGCGCTGGAAGACACTTAACAGAAGTGGAGGATCTATCGGTTTTGTGAGGAAAGAAAAGATGAGAGCTAAGTGTGTTAGCCTAACTATTAGCCTAAAAATCCGTCATCAGTATTATATGAATCATGATAAAACACGCCTACCATGTTTTGGGTTCCTGGAACTGGTCTGTCGGGTTATTGTCTCCCCAGAAACACTTCCCTTGTGTTTTTTCCTATTTCTGTTGTGTTTTGTGTGCTTTTGCAGCATTTTTCTTATTGCTGGTGTTTTCTTAAGTTGCAGTCCATTTGGCCTCTCAGGGCCACCGTACTGTCATCATTTAGTCACCACCAAATATTGAATAAAGAATTACAAAAAAAATCCTGAAATATCATAGACATTTAACTTGACAGGCGATGTTTTTGGTGACCAGGACTGCATGAACCCCACAGCTATGGCATTATTTTTGTGCCACTATTCTGAGCGCACATAAAAAAAATTGCAGGTGCAAGTGTTGCATTTTGAGGAGAAATTTATTTTGAGAGAAGAAAAGCTAAATTAGAGTGAACAAAATTCATTGCTGCTTGCAAAAATGTATTTCAGTGTTTGCTATTATCCACACACACACACACACACACACACAATAGCAGCCCCTCTCGCTCAGTTTTTGCATTTGCGCTCGCTCGCAATGTGTTGCTCGCGCTCTCAACATTTCTGCCTGTGCGTGCTCAACTCTTTCTGTACACCGCTATATTTGTGCCACAAAACCAGCCAATCACAGACTTGGATGCAAAAAAAATCTGATTGGCTGTTTTGGTCTCCAATCAGTTCGAAATGACGAAATGCAATATCCCAGAATCCATTTCGTCCAAAACTCAAACGAGGCAGTGGCGGAGGAACACAGAGTGGAGGAGTTTGAAATATTAATTCAATTCAATTCAATTTTATTTATATAGCGCCAAATCACAACAAAAGTCGCCTCAAGGCGCTTCATAGATACAGAGAAAAACCCAACAATCATATGACCCCCTATGAGCAAGCACTTTGGCGACAGTGGGAAGGAAAAACTCCCTTTTAACAGGAAGAAACCTCCGGCAGAACCAGGCTCAGGGAGGGGCGGCCATCTGCTGCGACCGGTTGGGGTGAGAGAAGGAAGACAGGATAAAGACATGCTGTGGAAGAGAGACAGAGGTTAATAACAGATATGATTCAATGCAGAGAGGTCTATTAATACATAGTGAGTGAGAAAGGTGACTGGAAAGGAAAACTCAATGCATCATGGGAATCCCCCGGCAGCCTACATCTATTGCAGCATAACAAAGGGAGGATTCAGGGTCACCTGGTCCAGCCCTAACTATATGCTTTAGAAAAAAGGAAAGTTTTAAGCCTAATCTTAAAAGTAGAGATAGTGTCTGTCTCCCGAATCCAAACTGGAAGCTGGTTCCACAGAAGAGGGGCCTGAAAACTGAAGGCTCTCCCTCCCATTCTACTTTTAAATACTCTAGGAACAACAAGTAGGCCTGCAGAGCGAGAGCGGAGCGCTCTAATAGGGTGATATGGTACTACAAGGTCATTAAGATAAGATGGGGCCTGATTATTTAAGACCTTGTATGTGAGGAGCAGGATTTTGAATTCAATTCTGGATTTAACAGGAAGCCAATGAAGGGAAGCCAAAACAGGAGAAATATGCTCTCTCTTTCTAGTCCCTGTCAGGACTCTTGCTGCAGCATTTTGGATTAGCTGAAGGCTTTTCAGTGAGTTTTTTGGACATCCTGATAATAATGAATTACAGTAGTCCAGCCTGGAAGTAATAAGTGCATGAACTAGTTTTTCAGCGTCACTCTGAGACAGGATATTTCTAATTTTAGAGATGTTGCGCAAATGGAAGAAAGCAGTCTTACATATTTGTTTAATATGTGCGTTGAAGGACATGTCCTGGTCAAAAATGAAATATTACTCTTTCTGGGTCACAAAATAAACTTTTAAGATATTTTCATGCGAGAATGGTGCTGTGTAAACTTCAAATATCTGCTCGATTTATCGAGACATCACATATTTGCATAAGTGCTCTAACGTTTTCGGAGATGCCTGTTACCCACCAGCTGACCGCATAGCTGGACTGGCCGTTGGGCATACCGGACATTTGCCCGGTGGGCCGATGGTGATTTTTCATTTTTATGTTTGTTTTTGTAACAATATAAACAATGAAAGGTGGTGGATTAGCCAGTTGGTCATGATCAACTCTGGGCTGGACCAATTACAATACATCCGTATTGAGGGGAAAAGGAACGCACAGCTCCTCTTCTTCTCTCATTCTCTCCCCCCCCCTCTCCTGTTGCTATTTCAATCATGAAACTGATCAATGATCAGCTGATCGTCTCTCTTGTTTGTTTATCGCCCACTTTGCACCAGAAACAGGAAACCAGCGGATGTCGCGCTAAACAACAGCAGCACGTTCAAGCTTGATAAGCTGTTGTTAGAATTTATTTAATATTACTTTCTAGTATCAGCTGATGTTTGCTGGAGCCACAGCTGTAAAAGCTGCTGGTCATGATATCGGTTTGGATATGTGGTGAGAGGGAAACATGAAGGTGATACAAATCATACATATATACCAACAAGACAGTGTACATCACTGTCACAACAGCGTTTGTTTTAGTTGAAAGGCTTTATGGTTTTTCCTATAATACCTGGTGGTGCAGTCGGCCGATTTTTTGTCAGTTCAGCTTTTTATATTATGTTTAACCCGAGTGACCACCAGGTCAGCTGGTGGGTAACAGGCATCTCCGAAAACGTTAGAGCACTTATGCAAATATGTGATGTCTCGATAAATCGAGCAGATATTTGAAGTTTACACAGCACCATTCTCGCATGAAAATATCTTAAAAGTTTATTTTGTGACCCAGAAAGAGTAATATTTCAAACTCCTCCACTCTGTGTTCCTCCGCCACTGCCTCGTTTGAGTTTTGGACGAAATGGATTCTGGGATATTGCATTTCGTCATTTCGAACTGATTGGAGACCAAAACAGCCAATCAGATTTTTTTTGCATCCAAGTCTGTGATTGGCTGGTTTTGTGGCACAAATATAGCGGTGTACAGAAAGAGTTGAGCACGCACAGGCAGAAATGTTGAGAGCGCGAGCAACACATTGCGAGCGAGCACAAATGCAAAAACTGAGCGAGAGGGGCTGCTATTGTGTGTGTGTGTGTGGATAATAGCAAACACTGAAATACATTTTTTGCAAGCAGCAATGAATTTTGTTCACTCTAATTTAGCTTTTCTTCACTCAAAATAAATTTCTCCTCAAAATGCAACACCTGCACCTGCAATTTGTTTTTACATGCGCTCAGAATAGTGGCACAAAAATAACGCCATACACAGCAAGTACTGCTAAAGGCAGCAGACGTAGGTTAAATGATCAGCCTGTGGGTCAATTTAGATGTACAGCCAAGATGTAAATCCATCTGGCTACAATGTGTATTAAAACTGGTATCTAAAATTATTGACCAAAGAATTAAATACATGCACTATGTCCCTTTTATAACTCTTGATTCCAGGTTAAAAATGTACGCTTTTTGGTGTAACCCAAGGTTTACAGGTCAGGTTTTGTTTGTCTTTCAAACTCAATGTAGTTTGTGAAGTAGCCATAGATGTTTATAGACAACGTTTTTGTCATCCAACTAAATAAAAATTAAGGAAAATTTTAAGACAACAAGATAACTTGACCATACATGAGTGCTGCAAAGACAAAAACAAAAAAACATCCTTAGGGTTGTTTTTGCAATGTGTGTATTGCTTAAATACTTTAAATACTTACATAAATAACCTCTCTCTCAAACCTTTTCCTTATGTTCAGCAGAACAGCCACTTCATGCATGTCACTAGGGGAAAGAAGCAATTAGAGTATTATTTATGGGGTTATGAACAAAAAAAGCAACCCAAAACCACACTATTTTTTCATGTTTGAGTTCAACTGAATTTAAATTGAGCTTTTTTTTTTCTTACAGCCAAATACTTTCTCCACCCTTTCATCATTCTTTAGTTATAAAGGTGTTATAAAATGTGTTGTGCAACACTGCCTGCTGAGCACAATGCATTGCCTCCATAATCTGATAACCAAAAATATGACTTAAATATATACAAATACTGAACAACCAGACAGTGTTCAAGGTCCCCACTGCTTTGTTCTAAGTGTAACTGTGGTGTACTGTGGCATTTTTGTTTTTAACTTACTCTAGCTGTGTCATATCTTCAACACCATTTTCCTCTCTTTGCTCCCGCTGAACCATTGTGGGCAGGCTTCTGATAGCATACATCTAAAACAAGCACAGACATTCAGAAATTAAATGCAAGTACATGTTACAAGAACACATTCACTCACAAGGAACTGTTGATTCTCTTACTTTTGAATTATTATTAGTTGCTTACCCTCAAACTTTATGAAAAACATTTCAGAAATTTTTACCTTTTTTGCTGTTTAGCAAAACATTCTGCTTTTTCAAAACAAAAACATCAAGACATACCTAATCATTTATGGAACTTTTTCACTCTAATGTTACACTAGATATTTCGAACTCACTGCATAAACAAAAGCACTTCACAGGTTGACACCATGACAATTTTAGCCATTGTGGATACATAGTTTTGTCATGCCACATTCGTTTTTAGAAATTACCTTGTCAAACCACTGCCCATGTGGTTCCCCCTCCCTGCGGAGATTCCATTCTCCTTGCTCATTCCCCAAGCCTTCCTGTCCCATCAAGCTGCGGGGGTCCAGCAGCTCCCCTTCACCATACATGGACCACTTATTTAAGTTTTGGACTGTCCCATGAGGTAAAACCCTCTCTGCCCCCCACACATCTTCATCTTGTTGGGCTTCAACTCCAGCGTTCTGTGCCCAGTGCTGTCTAGGGCCAGATCCTTGCACCTGGGGTGATACTACTGCATATGAGGAGGGTAGGCGAAAGGAGGCCCCCCGAAGGTGAGGGTTCTGCAAAGCACCAGATAGGTTGAGTGTTCGAGGTTCTGGTGCTTTGGGGGCACCGAGTCGTGTCATGATATTGCCATCAGGGAGGCGGTATTTCGCCCCACGAAGGTTTGGGTTTTTTGATAAGGCATTAGATAGGTCAAGCGCTTTGGGTGTCGAAGCCGGCTGAGGGCGGGTCATGAGAGTTCCGTCTGGCAAACGGTAAGTGGCAGATCGGAGGTTCTGGTTGCGAAGAGCATTGGAAAGGTCAAGTGAGCGCGGTTGAGAGGCATCAGTAGATCCAGGCTGCTTAAATAATGATGTGTTTGGAAGCCTATAAGAGGCACCACGGATGTTGGTTTTTAACAATGCACCAGAAAGGACAGGGCCGGAAGAAGCAGAGGAAGAAGGTTGAGCTTGGTTCCGTGAGAACAATGAAGATCCTTCTGGGAGCTGAAACTTTGCCTTACGCAAGTTAGCATTCATCAGGGCGCTAGAAAGCCCAGGGGAGGCTACTGAGCTCTCTGCACTCTGCGTCTGCTCTCCTGGACGTGTGAGAAATGAACTGTCTGGTAATCGATAAGAGGCGTTACGAACATTAGCATTGAGAAGAGCAGAGGAGAGTGTAGAAGAGGAAAGGGAGGGTGCAGGTGTGGACTCTGTCCTGGTAACAAGTGTACCATCAGGTAAACGATATGTGGCTTGTCGCAAATTGGGATTGAGCAAAGCAGAGGACAGCATAGGGGAAGACAGTGGAGATGGACCTGAGACATGTTCAGCAGGTTCATTTCTTGTGACAAAAGAGCCATCGGGTAGTCTATAGGTCGCCCGATGTAGGCTTTGGTTCTGTAAGGCATTAGAGAGCATCCCACTGCTAACACCACCTACACTATCAGTGTTAACTGGAGTCTCAACAGGGCCCCGGGACATTGTCAAAGTGCCACCTGGAAGCTTGAACATGGATCCCTGGATGTGTGAAGTTCGCAATCCACCTGAGAGAAGTGGTGAGCTACCTCTGACACCTCCTTGTTGTTGTGGGGAAGGTGGAGGAGCAGGTGAGCCTGGCAATGTGGGGGAGGGTTGTCGCTGAAATGGTGAAGCAAAAGAAGCATTACGTAGCTGAGAGGTCAGCATAGCAGGGGACAACTGTGGGGAGGAAGGGACAGAAGGGGCAAGAGGGACTGCTGCTTCAGGTGGCGTGAGAACTGTTGTATAGAGGTTGGCATTGCGTTGCAGAGGAAATGAGTAGGAGGCACTCCGTAGGCGTGAGTTCTGCATTAAAGCATTGGATAGACCAGCAGTGGGATACTGGGGCATCATCTGGCTCTCCTGTACATTAGCTGATATCTCCTCCTGTCCACCAGGCATGACAGGTAACGGGCTCCTCTGAAAAGCTGTGGTGTTGCTGACATTGTGCAGGTAAGGGTTCTGGAGTGTGCGTCCAAGATTAGGTGATGAGGGTGTAAGTTGAGGGAGGCTCTGAGGGTAAATCTCATGTTGTGTTTGTGGGGAGCTGGGCCTTTGTAAAGGTGAAGTGTGAGCTATAGTGGAGTAAGGGAGAGGAGAGGTAGGAAAGGGTGAGCCTACAATTTGACCGTTTGGTAAAGCATTTGTAAGCATTGGAGATGGGCCTGGCTCCATCAATGTATAGTCATAATGAGTGATATTCTGTGATGGTGGAAAAGTAGCAAGAGAAATATTAGCATTAGGAACAGGAGGCTGAAAAGATGCTGGTCTGAAACCATGGGGACTCATTGCCCTGTGAGGCAAAGGGGAGGGTGGATGAGACAAATGGTGCATGGGAGATGCAGAACGGGACAGCATTGGAGATTGTTGCTGCAAGGGCTGTGGAGATGGAGGTGTACTCTGAAGCCGGCGCACTGATGGCTGGGAAGAAAGAGGGCCACTCTGTTTCAATGATTGCTGTGGAGGGGCAGGGGGACCTGGAGGAGGTGCTCTGAATGACTGCCTAGACTGAAGAGAGGACTGGTTTCTGGGCATTCGGACTAATGGCTGCCCTCTACCTACAGGTCTGTGGAATCCTCGTTGGGGGGTACCAATTCGCTTGGACTCCCTTAACCCTGTAGGCCGGGAGCCTGCCCTGGCTAACATCGGTGTTCCAGCTATATCCTCTATCTGACCTGAAAGAGGGGCGGGACCACTATGGATGGAGGACCTAAATGGGGCAACATGCTGAGTAACAGGGGCCCCGTGTCGACTGTGTCTCTGTAAGTAGGGGTTGGCTGGAGACGGTTTCACAGCCCCCATGGGCACATGACTTCGAATCCCTGCACCACCTCTCATTCTGCGAGTAGAGGAGCGGGTGGGGAGGGGTCTACTGGTGATGCGCGACGGCGATGGAGAAGGAGGGCGATGGGGAGAGGTGGGGCGGAAGGATCGCGGAGGCGACTCAGCTCTTTCAGGTTGAGTCGGGCTCCTTCTTTGTGAATGTGGCTGGGGTGGAGAGGGGGAACGCCTCATCTTAGATGTCTGTTTTCTTCCTCTGAACAATTGTGGTCTGGTAGAAGGCAAATGGACTGCATCTGGTGGAGGTTGCTGTCTAAAGGAGAGTCTTGGGGAAGGTGGTGGGCTTGCTCTCTTCCTTAGCGATCCCCGGGGAGAAGCTAGCGGGCTGGAAATTGGGGATTGGGGTCGGACAGATGAAGGTGCTCGACGCAACCGAATATCTCCCCTCTCTTTTGTCATTGAAGGTTGAGTTCTCACTGACATACCTCTCCTATGTTGTAGTGGAGAAGAAGGTGGTGGGCTGTGTGGTCTGCGCCTGTTAACTGGGGATGTTGGCCTTTGACCTGGCACTGGGGCCCGCTGACTGAGCACCCGCCTATGAGGGTGAGGAGAGAGGTGTAGGTCAGACCGGATGCCTGTTTGGAAGTCCATGTGATGTGGTGAAAGGCGAGATGAAGGAGGCGCCATTGCCCTAGTTGATCCCAGCCTCAGTGATAGCTGTGGGGATGGAAGGGGACTCATTCGGCGCACTGGCCTAGGTGAGGCAACAGGTGAATGTAGCTGTGAATGCATCATTGGCTGCACTGGTGGACCCAGTGGTGTCATTTGAACCATCTGGAATGTCTGTGGGTCTTGTGCAAGGGGATCTTGATAGACTTGTGAGGAGAACTGAGGTGGCAGGGGAGATGGGGTCAGATGACTAGGAGAAACAGGGAAAGGAGGGTAAGTGTGCTGAGGGAAAGGAATGTGTTCTTGTTGAATGCTTGCGGCTGTAAGAAAAGGGGCGTGTCCAGCAAGAATGGAAGTGTGTTGTTGGTTCATGACAGTAGGGTAATTTGGCTGTGTGGGATGATATGTGTGGATGGGTTGCTCATATTGTATATCTGACATCATCTCCTGATTGTTGAGGGCCAGAACTGGGGAGGGAGGAGGAACCATAGGGGATGGGGGACGAGAATGAAGAGGAGGTGGTGGCAATGTTTCCACCTCTAGTCTGTCTTTTCCAAATAACCTAACCTGGGGCCTGGGAAACCTGAACTGCTGTGTAGGAACTGGCTCAGGTAGAGGATAAGACAGCTGTTCTTGTCCATATAGCTGCCCAATCTCAACTGGAATCAGCCCAGAATCCATATGGAAAGGTTGCTGATAATGATTATAAGTAGGAGCAGGCTGTGGATATCCCAGCATTGGGTCATTATATAGACCGGAAACAAAACCATTTCCACCGTTCATCAGTCCATAAGAGTCTGAAAGGCCAAAGGCAGATCCCACATTGTGGTCAAAGTATTCTTCATATGGCCAAGGGTCATATGGGTCAGAGAAACCATTTATGGCATCACCATAATAGCCATATGGTTCTGACTCTATTGCATATAGCATTCCATCCTCACCATAGTAGTATTCCACCCCTTCATCACCATAGTAATCGTCATACTCATCCTCATAGTAGCCATAAGGGTAATCATAGTAATCCATTTCATCATCATAGTAAAGCTCGTCATCGTAATAAAAGTTGCCTTCCTCATCATAGTAACCATATTCATCTTCCCACTCATCATCATCATAGTAATCCATTTCCTCTCCAAAAGGGTCATATGGGTCATAGGCAATTGGTTGTCTACCAAAGCCTCTAGGCCTCCACCTGTCATGGTAATCATCCTCATATCCATGCTCATTATCATCATACTCATATTCTCCATTGTAATAATGTGTCTGTCTCCCTCTAGTGTCCCTGTTGGCAAATGACAAGCGCTTTCGGCCTCGTCCTCCAGCCCTTGCACCAAATTGACCATGGCCCTTTGAAGTCAGGAACCTCCCTGTCAACCAGTTTGTTGCTGCAGCTATCCTCCCTAACATCGAACTTTTAGCCTTAAAGCCTGGTGTGGTTTTCTTTTTGCCAAACATGCCTTTGAACTTCCCTCCTAGTCCCTTTGCCTCTGTTGCCATGTTTCCTTTACCCCCTAAACTGGATAGATTTATTGTCTTTTTAGGTGGTGTGGTTTCTTTTGCATTGTTGTCTTTTTTATTAAGCAAGCTGAAGCCAGACAAGCCTGGCTTTTTGTCAGCAGACTTTGCCCCAAAACCAGCAAAAAGCTTACTGGTGCCTAGAAGTGGTTTACTACCAGCAGCTGGTTTCTTTTTTTTGGAGAGTCGTAGGAAGAGACGGGATGTGCTTTTAAGGTTTCTCTTTGGTTTTGCCTTCTCTGGCTGCTGTTGTTTAGAGGGAAAACTGAAAGGGGATGCCTTTCCTGTAAGGCCTGTTATGGCTTTGGAAGCTCCTTTCAGGTGAGATTTCACATCGGGTGTCTTCTGTACTTTTGCTGCTCCTAAGGTCTTCTTCTGCCCCTCTGCAGCAAATCCCATCATGGCCTTAGACGCTCCTTTAATGTGTACATCACTCATCTTTTTCAGGTTTACTGCACCCATTCCTTTTTTGATTTGTGGCTTTCCATCATCACTCTCATCATCTGATGGAGGAGGCTGTTTAGAAGGAGGCTTAAAACCCTTTACAGCCATGGCCTTGGATGCACCTTTAAGAGCTGCTTTCCCTTTCCCTTTATCTGGTTTCTTGGTCACTACTTCTTCCTCACTGTCACCACTTTCTTCTTCCTCAGTCTTCATCTCCTCTTCTTCTTCCTCCGACCCCTCCTCCGACTCACTGACAGGTTTCTTTCCTTTTCCCTTCTTTCCATCATCCTTTCCTTTCCCCTTAGCTGGGGGCTCCTCCACCTTCTTCCCCCCTTTCTTGTCATCTTTTCCTCCTTTTTTATCATCCTTCCCTCCCTTCTTTGGTTCCTCTGACTTGCCTTTCTTGGCAGCTGATTTTGGGTCACCTTTTTTGGGTGGCATGATGAATTCTGAGTCAAATCATTTCAAAGAAGGTCAGGAAGTTCCCAAACGCATGCTGGACAGGGCAGCATTAATGTAAATGTTGATATGCAGCATTGAGAAGAGCAGTTTAAACAGAAGCGACATCCTCTCATCCCCAGTTGCTTTCATGTCTTCTCTCCTTTTTCCTCCATCCGATCTGTCAGTGTGACACCACAAACACACACTTCAGGATACTCTGTCTCGAGTCAGTTGTTCTATAATGCACACCAAGATAAACACAAACCACAGTCCTTCAAAAGACGATCTAGTAACAGAGTCGGAATCTCAGCCATCAGTGCTCGCTCGCATTACAATACGTCCTCAATCCTCGGCAAAAGAGCTGTTTTCTAAGCACAAAAAGAGAAACAAACCTCCTTTCCAGGAGTATTGCAAAAAAACAAACAAAAAACCCCCCAAAAACTCCCCAAACTGCAGATGCTTACTGATTTTCAAATATCACATATGGAAAAAAAAATCGTGCTGATTGTTTCCAAGTTTTACCCACTTACTGAGTTTTTCCACTTAACATCTAAAATAAGAAAATAATCCATCATGGCAAAGCAAGTTCCTGGTCCCGATGGTCTGTATGGGTTTGTAAGTAATTTCCCAGGTTCACACGACAGATAAAAGACCCTGCTATCCCACTGACAGACTCTGTGTAGTCCTTTGTGTGTCTCCCATTGTCAGTTCGTCCTGTGAGTCCAGCAGTGAATCCTCATCTTGGCCACCGCACCAACTTTGGCGCAATGCTCCCCCCAACAAGGAGAGCCGATGCAAGTGCGTCAGAGTGAGTCTCCGTGTCAAGGGATGTCCTCTTCTTTGTCTCAGAATGAGTGTGCACAAGTGTTGCGTTTGCGGTTGTATCCACCCACAACCGCGTCAGCTTGCCTTTGTGACCTCCTGCAACCTTCTCCATCTCTCTCTGGTTACTGAAACTTCCACAGCCCAGTTCACCTCAACACGAGGCCTCTTCCGCATCTCAATCCAGTTGCATGACATAGGAGCATATATAGAAATATAGAAATATATTGTATGTCTGTGCGTGCATGTGCATCAGAATATGAGTCTCTCCAGTTACAATTGAAAAGGGGAACCATAATGTCCCAGCTATACTGGCTTGGGGTAACACTATCTGCTGCCTCACTTCTGTATGAATAATGCAAGCTGGCTGAGCTGTTGCTAAACTGTGTCTGAGAGGCAAAGCTTCAAATAGCTTAACCACACACATACACGCACACAGACACACACACAAGAAGCAGCATGGACCACAGCTGAGAGTGATGCCTTCTATTAGGTTCCTACAGTGCATATGCACAATACATTTTATGGAAAAAGACACCATTCAAGGATCTAAAATGTCAACTAAAAAAGCAAGTAAGGATTTAGGAAAGATTTAAGAAAATCAAGTCGCTTTGCTTCTTATTGATATTGCCCAGATCTTTTAAAAACTCAGTTTGCTTCGTGACCATAAACTGGCTATTATGCATCTTTCTAAATATTAATGATGGCTGCTATGAGGCAAACTAAAGAACAGCCAAACAACAAAAACCTTTTTATTATTTTCCCCCTCATTATTGTGGCATGTTGGCATATTTAAACTGGTAAAAACACAAACACATACATACATGTATGGGCTGTCAGTAGATGCGCAATGGGAAGTGCAAAAGACTGAGAGAATTACAGAAGTGTCTGTCGTGGATTCATTGATGATGGGCTGATATTCCAGGAGGTCATCTCAGTGGCAGATATGAATGTTTAATGACTGCCCTGTGTTCTTTCTACGTAGCATGGATAAAACATTCAGCAAGGGCTCCTCTAAATATATCACAAAGGGTCAACCCCACCCAGGCCCGCTGCCCAACCAATATATTATACATACTGCTGTCAGGGGTTAACAGCCAGACATCATACAGCAGATGGAAAGTAATGGTTTAATACTGGCATTTACAACCATTCATCTACAAGGAAAATTACAATGAACAAAATAAGGATTGTGGTTATTAATGCCAACCACAGTTAACAGGTTGACCTCTAACTTTTCTAACCACTGAATTGGAATGACTAATAGTCTTGACCTGAGAGTACATCCAAGCAGAAATGGGTATCACGTTTCCTCGAAGGCAGTGACCATAGCACACTCTAAACTGTCTGCAGCCTGTGCAGCAATAACAACAGCAGTTGTCGGTATCATCTAACTGCCGGTAGAGATAAGAGGGTGAAGACAGGACAGAGAACGGGCCCAGAGGAAAGTTCAAAAGTTCCTTCCATGTGAACACTGTTGGTCACCAGGCAGGTAACAAGACACACAAAATGCTCTATTTGATATGTGTGATATGCATCTGCTGTCTGACTGATGTGGCCTGCTGACTGAGTGAATGTGCAATGAACAGAGCACAAGTGACAGAAATGACTGAGGTGGAAAAAGAGGGGAGGTAGAAGGCATGTAAAAGACAGAATCTGTAATAGTGTGTAAACTGCAGATTACTCCAAATAAACTATGGATTACTATGTGGTGATAGGTGTCCCTCAGAGAAAACTGTTATTGAGAAGAAGTGAAAACGAGGAGCGGCAGGAAAGGAAGATAGAGAGTGAACGAGAGATGACGATCAAGTCTTTTCATCCGTGTGCCAACCACTGACAACAGACTTTCAGTGAACCCACTCACTGATACAAGACTAATAAAGGAGATCACCTGAGCAGAGCATAGCCAACAAGCTCATTCAGTGAGTGGGGGTACGTGCGCACACACACACACACACACACACACACACACACACACACACACACACACACACACACACACACACACACACACACACACACACACACACACTAGTGTTACAGGGGCAATTTATTTGCAGGAAAAGCAGCAGCGTTTATTATGATTGCATTAGTTAATTGCTACATGCATCTACACCTCAGGGGTTTCAACCAACTGGACAGCACTGGAAACAGTGAAGAAGGGTATACGTTTTTGGACTTTTAAATGTATTTGAATACATTTTTCCTGTTGATAAAGACTTCCCCAATGGCCATTCATATTATCAGTCACATTCATACAGCACTTTAATCTAAGCACTTAAGAGCTTTATTTACCTTGCACTCAAAACTATGGCATATTTAGCATCACTACCTGAGCACATGGAGGAGAACATGCACACTGATAGGCCCAGAGACCAAGACATGTGAACCCTGAACCTTGATGAACATCATGTCATTTTCACAATAACAATGTTAATTATCTTAGCATCTTGGCTTAGCATGTTAGCATGTTAACATTTACTACATAGCAGCACTAAACACAAAGTTTAGATGACATCATTAGTTTTGCTCACAAGCCATAAATATAATATAAACAGACCAAAGTAATGGATCTACAATTGACCTTTAAACAAACACAATGCTGGAGATGATCACGCAACCTGCTATACGGTCAAAGTGACAGAATAATACTCCACAGTGACATATTTGCTTATGAAACATGGGTGTAAAACATAAAGAGGAAAATGACTGACAGAAAGAAACACAGAGTTAAGGAGGGAGAGTGTCCTTCAGACTGAAGGAAAGACAGGAGGATGAGGAGGCTGGATTCAGGTTTCCTGTAAGCCTTTAAGCCCCATTCAGGTCTTAACCTGCGCTGTCAGACTTGACAATGCAGGAAATGCCAGCAGCTAGTAACTCACTGAAGACTTGTCTCAGAGGATCAGACATCATTTCTTGGTTGGTTTGACTGCTTGAACAGACTCACTAAAGATAAGACACACACTTTGACTTGTTTAATGTTACTGGGTGTAAATGTTCTGGCTATTCACTTATGTACCCTGCTTATCGCTCTGTAAAAAACTGAGCTTTTACCACAAAGTGGTAAAGAAAATAAATGCATAATAAAATATGTACAAGTTCAGACTTTACACAGACATTTAGAAAATTAGTCAGAATTTTCACAAAAAGAACAGACCTCGAGAAAAGAGAGAATACTTCACAGCTTTGTAAATATTTTTGATGAAGTAATACTGACAAACTTCCTGCAGTACATGCACGGATGTAGTTTTGAAGATTGCACATACTAAGTATAACCCCCAAACCTCATGTTCAATAAGCCTAGAAGTCTAGAATTAAAGTTTGGGCCAATCCTAGGTCTTCAGTGTAAAACCAGCCAACTATGTTTTATATTTCTACATTCTACAGAGAATGAAACAATCACAAACATTGTGGTGCAGAGGCAGGGCCCAGGGCTGTTGGCTAAACCCAATAGCTGTATTCCAAAACTGGGACTTTCATATGAGGCCTCAGTGTGTGAGGCTTATATTAAATATAAGATGTAATTCTGTACTTGTGATTGATCCCTATGACCAGAATGAAGAGAAGTCATTAGTTTTGTCAATAACAGGGTCCAACTTTATCCCTGCAAACAACTAAAGCGAACCTTTGAATGTCAAAAACTGATAAAGGTTATGCAGGCTGAGAATATTCTGCTTTGATGTGAGGTTTTTTAAAGCATTTATAATGTTATCTTTAAAAGAATTGAGCGTGAGCATGCTTTCTTTTCAGATAATAATTATATTATGTGGGCGATTATCCATGACAATGGAAAATTGACCAATTATAGCCTCCTAAGATCCAAGGAAAAAGGATCTTCCCATTGAACTTTTTGATTTCCTGCCTCTTTGGAGCTAAAAGAGGCCACCCAAACACATGAGATGTCAGTGGAAAGCTCAGGATGTCCTCTATTTAGTACATCAGGATCAGTATGGTAGCTCAAATAAGTCAAAATATATAGACCAAAAACACATGAATGACATGACAGAGGACATGAATGAATAGACTGGTTCTTATATATACCATTTTGTCATCAGACCACACGAAGCAGAATGCCTGTGCGCTCTCCGACCTTATTTTCAAAAACATTCCTTATAAAGATACTTGCAATGACCCATCAGCTCATTCAAACAGCAACACTGACGTAGGTGCCCTTGATT